ATAGCACCAATTCAGGTGTAAGGCTCTTAATTTGTAATATTTGACTTTTTGAAATGTGGCTACTATCATTTCAAATGATCAGTTAAGACAAAAAAAATCAATTGTTTTCTGATTTTTGGGTTTCACCGCATTTCGCTTTAAAGGTGTCAGACCACCAATTAAAAGTCCCTATCTGTTCAACCAAAATTTGCAATTTTCACAGCTTTCTCAATATTTTACCTTAAGTTTAACTTCATAGAAACCAGGTATATCCTGAATTGTACATGTATCAGCTTTCTAAATGCCAATTTTCAACATACCTTTAAAATCATATAAGAAAGAAGAGGCCTCCTGAATAGAGGTACCACTAAAAGTAACCCCTGGTTTTCTGGAAATCTTAAATTAGTATACTATGGAGTGCATTAATCCTCAATGTTTAATGCAAACTCATAGACAAGTAAATTTTGGCTCAAAATGGTCTTAATATATTTCTCTTTCACCAAAAGTTTCTTTTCTGCCAATTTGTTGGTTAGTTTAAGTAAACAATGACATCAAATGCACTATTTTTTGTCCGAGTAGGCCTACTTTCACATACGTTCTAAATTGGAGGGAGTAATTGGTGGTCTGATACCTTAAGGACCCAAAGTTCCGAACGGTTTGCCAAATACAGCTAAGCTAGGTTATCTATTCCTACACCGGACTCTGCTTCAGTTGGGTTATGAGTGTTATTAAATGAAATCTAGAGGTCATCTTTTGCAATACATGTTTTTAACCTTGTATATTTGGAGATAACTAGAATTTTCTGATTGCATCTTTGTTCCTAATCTTATATTTCTTAAATGTGCTGTCAACACTAAGGGTATTTATCTAAAACGGCAATTGTATTAGAAATTTGTTCAAAAACTTAGGTTTGATTGTTAATGACGTCAGCAAACAAAGTATTAATCACATCGGTTGACAGGATCATAAAAAATATTTATTTGTGTTTCCCATATTTTAAATTATGTTCTGTGTTCGCAATACACTTTTAAAATATAATTGGGACAAAAATAAAACTACACACTTCATAGAGGGTCATCATAGTTTTTATGCAAACATTGGCATTGTATTAAGAGATTTTAAGACACAATATCTACAAGTATTTCTTATTTGAAACTTCAATGTTAAACACTGTCCTGTGGTTGTAGCTTGGCACCCAATACACAAATTTTATAAATGACCATTCTAACAACATCCATGCATAATTTACTCGGTATTGAGTAGAGTTTTAATGCACTGATTATATAACAACCATTTCACACAAGCTCTTTTCACATAAACGTGGCATTTAAGAATTCTGAACCACAAGGAAGTCACTTACTTGATGTGTTCCATCTGATCATGTATCTCATCTTAAAGCAATATTTGTCCAATAAGATCTTGTATAAAACTGGGACTTTTATACTAACGTTTGTTTAATACTCCCAGTATAAAAGTATGTCCCATATTTTTGTCGTATTAAATTGTTGATATTGATCAACAATGTTTTACCTAGGGCAAAATACTACCATTCGTTTATACTTATCTGCCAAGCATGTTAACACAAGAAGCATTCTGCATATTTAAAAAAAAAAGTTTCAATTTTTAATAACAATATTAAAAGGGAGATGTGGTATGATTGCCAATGAGACAACTATCCAACAAAGTTGAAATGAAATGGATGTAAGTAATTAAAGGCAACCTTACGGCCTTCAACAATGAGTTAAACCCATACCGTGTAGTCTGTTATTAAAGGCCCCGACATGAAAAACATGAATTAATTCAATTGAGAAAACAAACGGCCTAATTTATAACAAAATGATTGATGAAAATCAAATATGACAGACATGAACCAACGACAACCACTGAACTACAGGCTCCTGACTTGGGACAGGCATATAAAGAATGTGGCGGTGTTAAACATGTTTGTGAGCGAACACTTCATTAACCTGGGACAGTGGTGTTATAGCACAACATAAGAACAAACTATAAAATCAGTTGAAAAAGGCTTCACTCATCAGATCAATACAAAGCAGAAAAACATCCAACACAAACACAGAACGGATGTGGCAGGGTATTTATACATCCAAACAACAAAAAAGACACAAAGTACAGTTCTGAGAGTACTCTGAGTTAATGACAGCTAGTTCAAAGCCAATCCCAACTAATAAAATAATCATGTATCGAAGACTAAATATGTGCGATAGCATTTTGGGTTAAGATCATCATCGTGAATACAAATTCAACAAATTGGAATAATGTTGACATTCTGTAGGTGTTGCAATTCTATTAAAGGCAGCTTTTCAGAACAAATAATTGGCCATACTTTTTACGTTAAATATTTGATCTGAATGAAAACGTAAAAGTCTGGTGAGGACTACCTAAAGAATTTTTCCTTTGGCTAAGTTGTTTTTTTAGAAAAAGCTATTTCTTGCAAAGTGGTTTCTTAGAAAATTGCGCCACTAATTAGTCTTGTGAAGAGGAGACGTATGTCATGTACATCAAATTGAATGCCTGGTATCTTCGATGAATCGTTTGTCTTAACAACAAATGAATTATGATAGAAGGACAACAGATGGACACAGTGGTAATTTAGGCTTAAATAATCTGAACAAGTAAGGTGTACCAGATAATATAAGTATACCTCACCATACTTTAAGTAATTTTTTAACCTCCATCAACCTGGCTAATAAAAACAATAAAAAATGTTACGAGTATTTATTAGATCACATTTATTCATAAAAGTTTATTGCACATTTATTTTAGTAGTCTTAAATAAAACAATAAAAAGAAGCACCAACCAATTACATAAGAAAAAACATTTTATATAATGTTGGTTTATAGATACCTTTATCATATATAGAATCTGTATACCCCAATTCCAAGTTAATACACCATTGAATCGAAACAAATTAGTTTGCTTAATTTCTAGTGCCTGAACAGAAACATTTGATGTAAAAGACCAGAAACCATTACTTTCAAAGGTCATCAGGTAACTGACACAACACAATTGCTGTATTGAGACTATTACTAAAAGGCAATTCCTTCTGATATGCATCATACCAAATGCCCATTTCATGAATAAATTTTATTAATCAAATGAAAATATGTAAATCAATAAAATCGAACATCATGTTGTTTGAGGTTATAAAAAAACAAACCATTATAAACAAGACAAATAATGCTACTGACTGATTTACCAAACAGACAGATTTGAGCATGCTTTTGAATTATATATAAGATTATATCTTGTTTACTAAAGGGTTATTGCACTCATAGTGAGATACTTAGTTCAAAAAGCCCATAGGAAGATCAATGAGGGATGTTTCTGGGATTGGACTGCCACTGTTCAGAATATCTCTTTCAAAATCAAATTAAAATTGATGAAAGTTAGATGAAATCACCAAGAACCCCCTTTTTTAAATCAAAGTGCTTGTGAGCACTGAAGGGTAAATATTGCTTTCATTTTGCAATTCTGGCCAATCTTACCCAATAAAAAATGATATGCACCGTTTCATACATTGAAAACATTTGAGCCTACAGCAGTTGCTTAAATGTGGGATAGTGTTGCAATTTCTTTCTACTTTTGAAATAACAAGACAAAAATGAACTTCCTCTACATTTTTGGTCACCATGGTTGATAAATGTTCTAAAAGATTGTGAAAAATATTGTGAAAGAATTTCCTTTTACATTTGAGGGTAATTAAAAATTGTGTAAAGTCGCTAAAAACTATATACTACTATAGCCTGTCAAAATGCTCAGAAGACCATGACAAAAATTTTATCAACTTTTTCCCTCACATTTAAAAGCCTGTTGGTCTGTAATAAATGTAAATTCTAACACTACACCAAGTTCATAATGTCATGATCAACTTTAAATAGAATCATAAATTGTGGCTTTTCTCTTATAATTAAAAGCAAAATGTCATGAATCTAACCAAACTAGACAAAGGAGATAAAATTATGTTGAGAAAGTTCTGCAATAAATATGAATATATCGTGGTGAATATAACTACACAAGATAAAAAAAATGGCAAGAACATAATTATTTACCCAGCCTCATTCATATTAATACATAATCACAAATGAAAATACAATACATGTCTTATATTATGGCTCATGGGTAACTTTGATAAAGTTTCTAACAGAAATCCATCTTAAGTTTAAAAAGAAATCTAATAGAAATAAATTTAACTGATTCTAAAACCAGAATTGTGGATTGTCCTGAACTTTTCAAATACAAATTTATTCTAGGACCAAACAAAATAAATTTGCTTGTACTTTGAATTTGCCTGTAGCTATTGTATCAAAATATAGTTTCAACCTGTGTTTGTTTCTTAAAATACTAGGAATATTGTAACTAGACATTTGTTTGCACCTGTCCTAAGTCAGGAATCTGATGTTCAGTAGTTGTCGTTTGTTGATGTGGTTCATAAGTGTTTCTCGTTTCTCATTTTTTATATAGATTAGACCGTTGGTTTTCCCGTTTGAATGGTTTTTTGTCCTGCATTTTTTTTAGTTGTAATCTCTGTCCTGCTTTTTTATTTTTTTCTCTATTTGGTCCTGCCTTTTTTTTTAATAGTTTATCCTGACTTTTTTTACACAAATTGTCATCCTGCCTTTTTTTTTTGCCAAGTTGCTCATCCTGCCTTTTTTTTTTACTCAAAACTCCGGTCCTTCCTTTTTTTTTAAAAATTTCATCCTAGCCCCCCCCATAAAAATCAAATGGTAGCTCCCTAAATATATAGTGTGAATAGTATTTTGTTGAAGAATGCAAACTTTGCTTTTTGTGTGTTTTTTTGCTGTGCATGTATTGATTTTGTGTCATGGATGAATACCCCATATCCTTTGTATTTCTATTAAAATAAATAAGTCTAACTGTCTCTTATTCAGAGGTATGGCCTGTGACTAGAGAATAAGTTAACTATGTGGTGAAACAAAAAACTTAAATAAGAACAATCAATAAGAACTATATAAATCTAATATTTAAAAAAACAAAAATAAAAATTTGAACAGTATTATGCATTAAAAGCAATCATAAATAAATAATATTATAACCAAACATTTTACAAAGTAAACAAAAACAAGCATGCATTTGTTGTAGTGCTAAGCATACTCCCCCTCCTCCATAAAGTGTCCAACAATTCTGAAAAGCACTTGTATGTTATAACTTATCACTGTCAAAATGCTGACCAAATATGAAGTAATTTGGTTTTGTAGTACTGGAACAATGTTTGCCCTAATTTTCAAGTTCCTTCAACGTATTGAAAAATTCAAAGAATAAACAAACAAGAAGTAGGTATCTGATACATCTGAAAAGTAATCAACTGTTGACCAAATATGAAGTAAGACAAACAGACAAGGTAAATGCCATATAGCCCCACTCCTAAAAAGGGTGTACAATTTGTGAACATACAAAAAGCTATGAACATATCTTCACCATAACTGACCAAATGGTTAGTTTAAAAGTCCCAGATGTTCTATCATTACTCTGGCAAAAATTGGAAAAGGTAAATCATCTAGAAAGTTTCTTTTGAGCATTTAAACAGGTTGACACAGTTTTCCCTTCCTGGGATCATTTTTTTTTTGTTCAAAATGAGGTTATAAGTTATGGTTTGATTTTTTATTATAAAAATTGTAAATATTTGACAGCCGCTAAATGATGGTTCAGATACCTCATTCAGTGAACCAATATTTTGATCTTCATACCTGATACAGTGTTGATTTAAAAAAAAAAATTCTTACAAAATAATTGATCTTCGCTATTCTGAACTGTACATGGCATAAAAGAGAAAGTGATTTCATTCATTAAATTTCTGGTGAAAAAACGTCGCTGATGCTGAATAAAATATGTAGCAAAGCTAGTATTTTTATTGATATGTAACATAATAAAATGCCCTGTGTAAACAAAATATTTAAGTTTTAACTGTGTCAAATAAAAATTTTGCTCTGTTCTTACAAAATACTATTATTAAAACTCTGTAAATATAACAAATGCCATGTTCATACAAAATATTTCAAATCTTGATAATAAAAACTCTGTAAAATAAAACTGATGCCCTTTTCATACAAAATAATTGAGCTAAAGTTTGTAAGATATAAACGAATTAAAGTATATTACTTTTAACAGTGGGGTACTTTTTCCGTGATTATGTTGGTATAGATGAACTAGTAATTGAAGTGTTTAACAAAATATTTCATTGAATTTTTCATTTAGATGCATATAGAAGTGTCAAAAAACATTCTAATAAATTTGAGTTTATAATCTGGTGAAAGGGTAGTTCCAACCAAGTACAGTTCAGCTAAGGTAGATTTTGTCATTTCTACCTGCCCACTGCAGTCAGCTGACTTCTGCCAACTCAAAATTAACAATTGAAAACTAAAGAATATATAATTGTTTCTATATGAAGTACATGTAGGTTCCTTTCTCAGGATGGATTAAAATAAATGACATATTAAATCTAAACGATATACACAAAAAGAATTTCAGTGATTTACTTTAATGCCAATAATATAACTGGGTGAGTATCGCAACATTGTGATATTTTATACATTTATCTATATGCAGATTTTCCTAAAATTGCAATAATTAATTTCGCATTTTTGTCCATTCTTAAAAAAATTGCAATAATAAATGCATGCAATAATTTCTAAATTAATAGTACTGTAAATTCAGAAATTATTGCGAGGTTTTTATTAATGCGAATAATGCGACTAGGTGAGTATCGCAATAATAAAAACTCGCATTTTGATAACTGCAACATAGATCTGTATGTAGATTTTTCTGAATTCGCAATAATTAAAATCGCATTCTTGTGTATTTTTGAAAAATCGCAAAAATAAATGCACGCAATAATTTCTGAATTTACAGTATATCAAAAATTTTCTATATCCATACAAAACATTCATTAAGTAGCTTGTACAGGTCAACCAACACGAGGTTGAATGTTTGATAAGGTTTCTTTGCAATAACTAATTCCTTTCTGAACAAGGTTGAAGACTGCAAACTGATGACAGAGCTTCCATTTACCATTACTTAATTTCGTCCAGGATAAGACGTGAAGCAAATGCAATAGAAAATGCCAAAACCACTCCAACTATAGCATTGTAATTCAGGGCAAAATTAAACACCTGAAAATAAAATAAAATTAAAATATTATCAAACATATAGTAATTCATGTGACAAACTTTGTAAGAGTTGTAACCTCCCTTTTCATTAAATTATTCTAAGAAAAGGTGCTTGCCAAACTAACATTCACGCAGTGTAAAGCAAACACCGATCAATCAATAAATCAATTAACCAATCAATTATGTTCAAGTTTTGGCTGTATGCTCCAATTTGTTTTGTTATGAGCAAGTTACAGGGGATCTCAACATAGGATTTAGGGTACAGACGTCGGCTTGCATTTCAAAAACACCTTCAGTTTATACATTGAAGTCTAGTAAAAACCATGACCCATATATATTTTTCATTGAAAAATCATCACTCATTCATATACTTCTCAGTTATCAAAAATACAATTTTTTGACATTTTTGACATCTTAATTTGATTTAAAAGGATTATTTAACATGTGTCAATTATCAGTCAGAATAAGCAGAGAAACAACAAAATGTTAACCTATTTATTAACATACCTGCATCTGTAATGGTTGAACGGTAAGGAACTGTAGAAGTTTGAGTCTTTCCTCTGTTGGACAGATACACTGTAATAGAGATACCTGATTAGAATGAACCACTTCAGAACCAAAGATTCAGTCTTCAGTTCATGTTATAAAGATACTCGATTAGCATGCACAAATACAGAATCAAAGATTTAGTCTTCAGTTTCTGTAATAGAGATTACTGGTTGGCATGCACAACTTTAGAACCAAAGGTTTAGTCTTCCGTTTGTAAGTTTTATCCTTAATACATATCCTAAAGAATGTTCTCTGCAGTTTGATAAAATATTTCTGATACAAGAGCTTTCTGATTTTCACTTAAGCTTAGTTAAGACAAGTTTCACAGTAAATGTGCATTGACTGCAGAAACAAAGCTTGCCACACATGACAACTGAGCTTGTATCAACATGTTTTAAATTACTATTTTAGGGACCTGCAAACTTTGACACTGGCATAGACAACATACCCCAGCATCATATTATTCTTTTGACCTTGCCCTTTGACCTGAATAAAGTTAACTTACCCTAATCATTCTTTGACCTTCACCATTGACCTCTGCAAATGCTGATGCCAGTAAAAGAAGCATAAAGAGTGGTAATATACATTGCAATATGGAAAATATTTTTGCAGAATGAGACAGCCAGGAGATAACATAATCACTGATCCATAACAATACAAAGAAGATCCAACTACCTAGCCATCTCTGTAAGTAGCGAGATGTCACCCTCATTCTTTTCTGAAAAAAAATCATACTGGTAAGCTAGAGAACATTATAGTTACTATTGTTTTGAATTCCACTATTTTTAGCAGCAAATTGATACTAGCTTGAATCCATACCCCCAGTTTTAGTGAGGTTCTTGTTACTCAGTCTTTATTTTTTTTATGTAGTGTTTTGTAGACAGTTGTTTGGATTTTTTTCATTTCTCTGTTTTTGCCATGATTTTGTTAGTCTCTCTTTTTGACATATGAGTTTTAATTCTTCCTTTGTTATCTTCTGCTCCGTCTTAACCAAGTTAAGATTAACCCTGTCTCTTATTGTATCCTTAGTCCAATCCTAAACCTCAAAACCAAACTTTTTTATACAAAAATTTAACATACACTTTTGGTATATTAGCTGGACACACTATTATCAATTTCAAAGTAAAATATATATCTCTGCTTATAGTATGACCTTTGTGCACTGAAATAACTGTACACTGCACACAAAGAGATTCAATTAAAATTTGTATACTTACAGAAATTTTCCAGTAAGCATTGAGTATTTCTTCATTGGTAAGAATGGTGGACTTGTTTTCTCGGCAGGCCTCATAGTCAATACTGTATTCAGACTGCAATAATAAAACAAGGGAATATCAAATATGCATAAATGTCAACTAGTTTTTAAAATTTTTACCTAGCAGAGAGGCCAACAAAATCACAGCAAAAAAAAAAAAAAGAAAAAAAGGAGAATGTGTCCATGGGACACAGATTATGCCCCCGCTGGCATATAACATTATAAAGGGACATAACTCTGAAACGATAAAAGTGACGCAACCTAAACTTGATCTTGATCTGTGTATTGTGGTAATAAGCATTGTGTTTAAGTTTCATAACATTTGGTTGAGGCTAACTAAAGATAGAAAATGGAACCTAAATTAGGGATGCACTGATGAACGCTGGGACAGACTAGGGTAACATAAAATAAACTGCAGAGGTCCAACCCTGAACAGTTGGGGCAAAAATGGACACAAAATTGAAGCTTGATACAGGTCTGAATTTGGATTGTAATTAAATATTTGACACATTATAGGTTTCTGACACAGAATAAATGTAGTAAAAAAACTTGAAATTGGTTATATGATTAAATTTATATTCAATTGAAGATTTCTTGCTGTTGTGCAATACTTAGTAAATCTGTTTTCAGACTATATACAAAGAATTAGCAAAATAAATTGTGACCCCCAATTTTTCTTTGGAAAATTGACAATTTTTTAAATCTTGAGGAAAAAAAATTCTTTTTGTAAAATGTGGTACAATTTAAGAGACATCCATACACTTAAACACAAGTTATTGTCTGAAAACTAGAAAAATGCTTGTTTTAGACCCTTTTTGGAACCTAATTCCTGAACAGTTTGGGCAATTACCCCCAAAATAGATCCCAACCTTCTACTTGTGGTATTGAACCTTGTGGTACAATTTCAGAGCAATCAAGATACTTATACACAAGTTATTGTCCTGAAACTAGAAAAATGCTTGTTTTGGGCCCCTTTTTGGCCCCTAATTCCTAAACGGTTGGGACCATCACCCCCAAGAACAACCTCAACCTTCCTTTTGTGGTACTTAACCTTTTGATTAAATTTCATAGAGATCCATACACTTAAACTAAAATTATTGTCCGGAAACCAAATGTCTCCAGACGATGATGATGACAACAACGTGATAGCAATATACGACCCCCAAATTTTTTTGCGGTCGTATGAAAAAATGATGAAAAGACAAACAACAGTCTACAAAACATCTTCCCGTCCTGGAGAAAAAAATCTCCATGTGTCTCCCTCTCTTACAAGGATTTCATTCTAATATATTTAAGCATTTGTTTGTACAATGTACTGTAAAAATTGACAAGTTTACCATCAAACAATTGTACTACCTGTATAGAGACCCGTGGTTGTGCACTGGTATCTTGTGGTACATCTACTGATACTGCAGTTGGCTCATCCAACAAATGATACTGTGATCCACTTTGACCAAAATCGTCCCATATAAACCAACCAGAATCTGAATTACAATTAAAACTTGTTTCATACTCAGTATCAATATCACTGATTTAAAAGTAGGTCTACATTTTAGTTATACGATTTGACCTTTCCTATGGCTAATGCACTAATAATTAATATGTTACTGCGAGTTCTTAAAATTTTTAAATCCCTAAAATTTTAGGATTTTTGTATAACCATTCAATTGAATGGAGAATTCATGTTTTGACTAGAGTTTTTACAAAATCACTGAAACAATTAAGAAGTTTTTTTCACATGTTATCTTGTACATTTCTGGGAATATAGGAAATTTTTTTTGTATGTAATTTAAAAAAAATGATTTTCATTATATATTTTAACACTCTGGAATCTAGTTATTTATCCTTGTTCTCCTACAGTTTAAATTATACCAAATCTCTGGGAATTAGTTGTGATACTGAAAGCATTTTCAAATTAGTCAAAAATATCTTTAAGTCATATTACAGCATACCTGATTGGCCTGTGAGAGAGACAAAGTCCATGCTTTTAGCAGATGTCATCCTTAGGAATTTTTTAGCATTTTCTCTGCTGATTAACTCTAAAACTTTGGCTTCTCTGTCCAGGACACTAATAAATCTTCTGATCACTGAAAAATAAATAATAATTTTGCATTATGTATGAGAATCAAGATGGGTTTACAGCATAGAGAATGATGGCCCAAAAAAATAATGAATAGAGAAAAATGAGCAAAAAATAAAGAAAAGACATGCAAAAGTATAACATGTCAGCTGCATCAAATAAAAATCAACCTTATGCAATTGAATATATCAATACATCTGCCAACCTATTTCGGGTTGAAAAAATCTCTATGCAAAGTCTGTAACTGTTTGAAAATTTGAGTTGATATACATGATATAAGAACCCTACAAAGCAGACCAAAATAAATTCATCTTTTATTTCGTATTTGAATGTTCTGAAATCAATTAAAGTCTTTTACATGTACATGTATAGGTGCACTTGCATAAGGTAGATTTCTCTCCAACGCAGCTCATGTATAATGAATAATAAAAGAATAGGTAATATAGTACTGATAACAGAAATGAATGATGTATAAAATTAAGAAATCATCTAATTACAAAAATATGTAATAGAAAGATAATTTTCATGAGAATTTTAAAGAAAAAGCATTATTTTTAGAGGTTAAAGAAAAATGACCTAAATATTTAATAAATACAGACATTTAGAACCCCCACCCCCCCATTCCAGACCCTCATGTATATCATGCATAAATATTTTATCTCACTTTTAAGATTTATCATTCTATATTTTGACCAGTTTAACACAAGGTGATCAAGTCCAAATTCTCTCTTGATGGTGATTTTATACAGTGAATGCATGTTATCTTAACACATGTAACAGGTGGAGCATTAAAAAACTTATACAACAATCCTTCTATTTGAGCAGTCAAAAGACATTCACTGTATATTTTTATGTGATATACAGTCACTGACTGTATATTGCATTATGCCATGTCTACACTATTAAAAATCTCAATGAAATGACACGCTTCTGCAAGGTGATCAGCACATAAACAAATCTTTCAAAATTTCTCCTACAAAAATTAAACAGAAACAATTGTTCTTGCTCTTATTTGTTGCTAAAATTGTATAAATTATTATGTTCATTACTTATTTTTGATATTCTATTTTAAATCTTAAACACACATTCACCAGGATGATTTCAACAACACTATTTTGAAATGTACCTATTTTAATTCACTAAAGTCGGAGGCTTTTTCTAGGGTGAACTTAATATATTTGTTTAGAAAACAAAGTTGCTTTAGATTTTCAGTATAAATATATAAAGACAACAATAGTGTACTGACTTGAAATTGTAATGATATAAGGGTTTTTGGATTTATATTACCTACCTACTGTATGTGTCCGACAGACAGAAAATAACGTACAGCCGACTAAAACATTCCACATCATTGAAATCAATGTAAACGCAAGATGTGAAGAGTACATCACATGACACACATAGCGGGTTAGTTTCAGCTTGTCACAATGGTTTGGTCCAAAATTCAGGTATGAGACATATGAGTTAATTCCATAAATAACAACTGCTAAAAATATAAAAAGTCCTGCAACGCTTATTTTTAAGAAAGTTCTCGAGTGAATTCTAACACATTCAACAAAGTTACGATTACTAAACAACTTTGCAGCAAGTTTTTGAGAATACAGTCCCAAGCATATCCAGATAAAGCCTAAGAATATTGTGACCACGCCCATTAATAATGACGTATTTGTCAAATTACTCATGATGTCAAATATCTCATGTGTAATGCCAGTGGCGGAAAATGTCAAACCTAATATTAAGGTGATAATCTGAATAATACGAGATAGAATCGACTGTTTTTCTACGTGAGAATATGTTACACCTAAAACATAGATGACAATTTTCCAAGCCCATCCTGGAATTTTCTGTGAATGATTAAATTTTTGGGATTTTTCTTCCTCTGTTATTTCAGAATTTAAGAAGTTTGACAGGTAAGTAGGGTCTGCTTCAACAGAATCTAAGAAGTCAGGATGAACATTCTTTGGTGTATGATCATATTGTCCTTGCCTACAATATAAAAATATTCAAATACTGTCTATATTAACTCTCAAGAAGAATAGTGTCATTCAAAGTGCTATTCCCAAGATCTAAAGTAGCAAGTAGTATTTCACTGTCTTGAATCTATTTTGTTAAGCATAATGTTAAGTACCCCTTTTCCTTAATTTTCTAAAAGCATTTTATCTTTCGCCTCTTTTTTATAAGGACTAGTCCAAAATTAAATGAAATGGTGGGGGGATTGGGAGGCCTTTTTTTTAGGCCCCAACCACTTATAATATAAAAATATCTATAATTCTTACAAAATTATATGGAAAATGCATTCACCCACAATTAATTCATTAGAGTGCCTCACATCCCCCAACCACGATCAATTTTGGAACATTTCTAAACATGCTAAAAGTTAACTGCTGATATTTTATCATTTACTGGTAGTATTATTCTAGTTACACAGTGAAATTTCTCTGTCCAGTACAGTCTCCTTGACCCTCTGTTTTTAAACCAATCAACAAATGTAGTGTTTTATTGTGTATAATCCTTTATTACAAAATATGAGAATTGTGTAAAGCCTCTAATTTTGAAAACAAGCAGTAATCTACATATTTAAAAAAAAAATTTGAATGATACAATATACATCACATACATTTTGGAAGGCTTAGATTATTTACCGGATTAGACTTTTTACCGGATTTGTAATAACATGAGCAACACGACGGGTGCCACATGTGGAGCAGGATCTGCTTACCCTTCCGGAGCATCTGAGATCACCCCCAGGTTTTGGTGGGGTTAGTGTTGCTTAGTCTTTAGTTTTCTATGTTGTGTCTTGTGTACTATTATTTGTCTGTTTGTCTTTTTATTTTTTAGCCATGGCGTTGTCAGTTTATTTTCGATCTATGAGTTTGACTGTCCCTCTGGTATCTTTCGCCCCTCTTTTTTGGCAAAGTATGTATATGTTTCTTTAATACATTACTGTGGATTCATTAATTTTCGTGGATTGAAGAAAAATTGTATATTCATGGATATTTGATTTTGTGGTTTAGAAAAAGTCTGCATACAAGCCTATAGAAAGTTTGTGATTCATTGAATATCTAAATTCGTGGTTTACCTATACCAACAAAATTCACGAAAATTGGTATCCCACGAATAATAATGAATCTTCGGTATGTCATGTATGTGTTACTTGAAGTTACTGTCATCCAGTTTGCTCTGGTAGTGCAAATATGAAGGGTAAATGTCTACCAATACCTAGATAGTATTATAGTTATATTTTCATTGGGTTCATTAAATTTGAATCAGATTGTCAATGAACCTATTTATTGATTGATTGATTGATTGGTGTTTAACACCACTTTCAACAATATTGTGCTATTTCGGGGTTATTAAATGAACCTATTTAAAGACAATATATTAGTTTTAATGCAATTGAAAAGAAAGGATTACTATGTATCAATTAATGACACACAATTCCTACATACAAATGAAATAATCAAAAGCAAAGGAACAGCACTTGTATTGCTGTTTTTCATCTTAAAGTCAATGTGAGGAGAAAAAAACTCTTAATCTCACTGCAATTTCAAGACAGATCTCAGCATCGGTACGAGCAGAATTCTTTGCTTAGTTGTTAGTTAAATTGTTTTTTAAATGTTGTTACGTTGGTTAACCTTTTCCTCAGCGATCACCACAGATCAGTATAAACAACTGTAATAATTTATAAGTAAATTAATCCAGTATTGATCTATTTTACTAATTACCCATTTCTGAAGTTTATTGATCTGCTGTGGCCAGACCTTGATCTTTCATAATCCTAAAATATAGAGAATATTTAACTCATGAATGAACAAAATTACACACAAAACCCTAAAAAAGGACAAGATTCAAGCAAAAAAACTCATATCATCTGACGGGTATAATATATACAGTTGGGGCTTCTTTTTTTCCAACTCTGAACAACATATCTTGATAGTTTATTAGATACTGTTCAAAGGGAAATAATTAATCCTTATATATTAATTAATTGTCTCCCCTGTTAACTTTTCTCTTTCATGTGCATGTACAAATGTACTAACTATTCATTGTTCTATTGTTTTGTATTTTAATGTTTCATTGCCATAAAAAAAATATCATGGTAATCATTGTATGAAATTTAAAACCCAAAAGGGTCCATAATTGGTCAGAAAGAATTTCTATTTCTATACATCAAAAACCACAGACGTGCATGAAATGATGACCTTTACAGAATTCATGGGTTCTGTGATGCATACCCAGGTTTGGTTAGGTTTTAGTGCTGCTCAATCTTTAGTTTTCTGTGTAACGCTTAGAGGACTATAATGTTTGCCTTTTTGTAGTTTTTTAATTTTTTTGGCAATGATGTTGGATTTCTCTTTTTCTTGTGGTAATTTAATTCTATCTTCCCTTTCTTTTTTAAGAAAGTGCATATCATATGAATATGTGCAATTTGAAGTTTAAAGTACATTTCAGGTTTTTTTATTGGTACGGTAATTAGTTACTGAAGTTCATTGATATTACAACAAAGGAATAGACTTTTGGGACAACACACATATATATAGATTATAACATGGCATTTTTCATATAACACCCCTTATCAGCCCTAGGTCATGATATCAGCCCGTGAGCCGACAGGCTCGAGGGATGATTTCGACCATGGGCTGATAAGGGGTCTGATATGAAAAATGACATGTTATGTTTTTTTTTATCATATACTTCAGCAGCAGCCATACAGACAAGAATTTTTTTTTTAAAACTTTATAAAATTCATTTATTGTATTATTAACTTTGTTTTGCATTTTTTTATTTACATTTTCCTGTTTCCTAATATTCGTTTTTTTCATCCTACTTAGTTATGTTTTTCACTGAAATGTACCACTGAGGTTTCTTTTCCGGAATTTGCAGAATGACATCGAAATGCTTTGCGATAACATTAAAGAAAGGCATGCGACAATAACCGGAAGCAGTTGATATAAACCGGAAGCAGTTGATATATACCGGAAGCAGTTGATAACGAAAGTCATATCACACTGCTAAGACAATTCTTCCAATTTAATGAATAAATATATGTACAAATTAGTTTTATCAAGGGGTACAAATATACCATTATTTTCTATAAGTATATGATAAATATATATATCACATTGATTCAAAATAAATAATTTGAACAGATGAAACATGGAAAAAAGGTTGGTGAACGGGGATGATGATGATGATGAATCATGATGGATGGCTGTTGAACAAGTTGAACATTCAGTGGTAAATTCAATGTATATTCAGGAAGAGAACATATTAATGTGATATGAATATGAATCCTGCTTTATACTAGATGTAATCCCTTTTGAAAGCGGCAAAATCAAAAAATCTCTGGACACCGGATCCCAAAAGGGATCATACAAGACCAACATGAGAATCAGGGTCCGTTCGCCCTGATATACTTTCTCCTTAGTACCTGTTCACCCTGGGTCTGTTCGCCCTAATACCCGTTCGCTATGGGTCCGTTTGCTCTGATTTCTATTTTATTTTTTGTCTTGTTTTTTCATTATGTTAATTATTTGAAAAACATATGTAAAAGTTTGTTGAAAATTTCGACGATTATTTATGTTTTAATGCTGCTATCAGATAATTATTTTTATTTGATTTTCACTGAAGTGTACAGGAATACAAAGCATTTAATATAAACATGATTTAACAACTGAAACTCAAGTTATCTGTTTGTTTTTATCTTTTCGGTTAAAAATATTTAAAAAAATTTTTTTTATTAATCCACCAAAGACAATTAATACAACAATCAGTGAGATCAAAGACATTATAATTATACCTAATCAGCATTCTAAATTACGATCAACAGTCATTAATAGTAATTTTGAATAAAACAAATGTAACAATGAAGCCAATTAATGCTAAAAAAATCTCCATAAATTTTTAAATATTTCCAAGTTTTTTTCTTTACATTTGAGAAATATATATTTTCTATAATATTTACCATAAAAATATCTAACATGTTTAAGAAGTTTATAAACCTTAATACCATTAATTTTTAATATTGTTTTTATAAAAGTAGGGCAAACTTGCCCTTCTTTTATAAAAACAATATTATGGGTGAACAAATTCAGGGCGAACGTACCCAGGGGACCATGTTATTAGGGCATGTAGGGCTAACAGACCTGAAACCCCAACTTGATGAGCCAGATTTTTAACACACTTATATTAAGTTCACAAGGTAACAGTCTGCATGAAGACAATATCACCTTCCCCTTACACATTATACATGTTATATTTATTCTGACTCTGTGACGACCAGTTTTTGATCTTGTTCCTAAATGCCCTGTGCTCAACCAAGAAGCAGCAAATACCAATTCCAAGTCTTTGCTGTTGCCCAGTGTTGGTTTGACTGTTTGACCTAGTCCAAATAATTATCCTCGTAATATGGGTTTTTGTGCTATTTAGAATGCATTGTGACGTCACAATTTCCATTGAAAAAGCATTCATAGTAAGAATTCATATGACGTACGAATACATATGATCTGACGTCTTGAAAGGCTATATTATTTTTTTTTCTGTGACGCCATTGTAGGAAGGCGTCACAGAAAAATAAAATAAAATAGCCTTTCATTGTTTCGAGACGTCATAATCATTTGGACTATGTCTGACCCAGGCGGGGATCACGTCCATGACCTCACACACATGGTGGATTGGGCCCAACCTAAGAAACACACTTCAAATTCTTCGGTTTTTTTTATGTAATTTGAACCAACCTGTTTATTAGTGGCAATTTCAGTTTTCCGCCCCAAGCTGTCAACGGAGTTTATTGAAGCTGTTGAAGCAGCATCGAAATCAATGGTAATATACGGATTTACTGGTTGACTTTTGTTTGTATCAGCCTCTGTCATTGTAAAAAAGAAAATCCTTTAGAGCATAACCATTGTCACAGATTTGTTTTATCACTAATCATGCTAATTGTTTGCGTTTGATATGATTCATTGACTATTCCGAATACTCCCACATTTTTCTGTTACTAGTTATCTCCCTTTGTCTAGATTGTCATTAAAGTGTTCATTTATAGGTGTCTTCTACGACGTCCGTGTTCTTCTCCGATAATGTTAATAAAGTTTACCATCAATTACTTGTAGGATTCACTTCAAAAATCAAAATCCAAATTGATTTTTTTTCTCATTTTTAAGAAAATCAAAATACTTTAAAAAAAAACCCATCAAAAAAACGTTAATTTCAGCATGAGAATTCGATTAATAGAAATAAGTAAAGAACTTATAAAAAAAATAGAGTTAAGTATGTTTAATTAAATTTAGATAAAGTGCTATAAAAAATGCCAAAATAAGAATAAGTAACAGCACGCTAGCTATTGAACTTAGTCGATATAATATTGTAAAAAAAGCTTTAAAAAATACATTGTGCTCCCTATCAGGGACAGTCTATACTAAGTAGTGAAGTTAGTATAGAAAGTTCCTGTCCCTATGTAATATTAGCTAGACATAAAATACAATTTATTATATGTCTCCGACTTAAGGTGGTACCTAACATTACAAGGAGATAACTCTGTAAAAATCAGCTAAACGTTTTAATCACGTTGTTTTGTTAAGGAAATATTAAGCTTCCCAATGATCAAAATTAATGTTTGTCAAACTGTTATATAACCAATGAAATTTTTCTGATAAAGTGGTTGGTTCAAATTTTTTGAAATTTTTATATTTTTGTCAAAGGGTCAAATTAAACATTTTGTTAAAATTTTATGAAAATTAAACGAGCCAAATTAATATTAGTCAAGGTGTTGGGTACCACCTTAAATAAGCAACTGAACAAGTTCGGTGTTTTGTCACAATCTTTTCGCGTGTCAATGTTAACTTGAACTATTTCCATGTGTTGCATTTGAATGGATAACTACTCTTTTTTGCAATTTCTTAATTGCCGTTTGAGATACTTTTATTTTTGAAAAAGATGTGCAGATTTGTATGGTATTGCGATATTATATTTTATAATCTCGTACATGCACATGTATCCTTTTCTACTTTGAAAACATATATGCAGAGACATGTCTCTGCATATATATATATATATATATATATATATACATCATTGTAGATGATAATGTCAGGATGATCGATCTGTCGATTCTGATGACCACAATCCTGGGACATTTTAAATATTTTCGTGTCTGCTATTTTTTGTAGTTTCATAACCCTTAATGGTTAACCAAAAAAATTCCCGTCTCTTCCATTATCTTGATGAAAGCTCAATGAAATTATGCAAATTAACTTATTTACCATTTAATAAAATATACCATTACATATAGCGACTCAACCTGTGATGGCTCTTCTGAATTAAACTGATGAAGTGATCATAAGAATATTAGAATTCATACAACTTAGGAACTAGCAGCCATACATTTTTACTTCAAATTGACACCTAACACTTCGTAAATGACTATTGCAATTTAAATCGATACAAAAAATTACATCTGTCAAGAGCAATATGACCACAGATAACAGAACTTTTCCATGGGTATTGTGGTTTCTGCCAATTAGGCCTTAAAAATATAAGCCAATCCGAATGTATTACTGGCCCATGATATATTTTCAAATAGCATGATATTTAAAAATTCTGTAGAGGATCATCCAATAATCATAATTCCTAAAGGGTTTAATGTCTTTACACGTATTTAGGCCTAAAATACCTTACTTTACGTTAGAGGAATTGTTTCAACCTGTCGAAACTTATCGAAAATAAAATCTAGACAAAACAGAAACTGTCTAGTTTTAATTACCTTAATATGCTAAGATAATAAATATTAGTTTTTATTTAATATGACATTACAGAGTCCGATTTATAGTGCCAAATTTAGGCCTGTGTGGTTGATGTGTAAATTCCCTGCCACGTCCGGTCTGTGTTTTTGTTAGTTGTTTTTCTGCTTCGTATCGATCTGATGAGGAGTTAAGCCCTTTTCAACTGATTTTTAAAGTTTTTTTTCTTATGTTGTACTGTTACACCACTGTCCCAGGTTAGGTGGAGGGTTTGGCGCCAGCAAACATGTTTAACCCCGCCACATTCTGTACGTGCCTGTTCCAAGCCAGGTTACTAGCTGTAGTTCAGTGGTTGCTGTTAGTTGCTATATATCATATTTGTTTTTGTTTATTGCTTTGTACATTAATCAGGTCGTTAGTTTTCTCGTTTGGATTGTTTTATATTTGTCGTTTATATCTTACTTTGCGGTATATGGGTTTTGCTCATTGATGAAGGCCGTGCGGTGACCTATAGTTGTTAACTTCAATGTTATTTGGTCTTTGGTGTAGAGTTGTCTCATTGGCAATCACATCTTCTTATCTTATATATATCATAAAGGAAAACACCGTGTCAAATGCCGCAGACGGTGACTCAATGGAGTCAGCATCACACATGTACTGAGACGGCAAATTTTGTCGCTTCGGCCAAGGTCGTTTTATAAGCCGGTATCGTCAACTATCTGATTATAGTAACTTTTAGTAAACAAACCATTATATTTCAAGGACACATTTATATTGATAAAAGAGCTATTTCCCGGTCAAAAGTTGATCACATAAATAGTATCTCGGTAGGAAATCATGAGTAAAATATTGTATATCGGTATTAAAAAGGACTATTCCCAGGTCCCAAGTTATCACATTATCTCTGCAGTAAATTTGTGGGATATTGTATAAAATATCGGCATTCTTCCTCAAATTTGAAACTTGCCCGGACTCACTTTTGCATGCTTGAATTCACGGATTGAGCTTATATAAGGTAATGTTGTGGAAACATAAGTTAGTTTGTTCGGCCATTAACTATTACATTATACGAATAGTTGTTTAAATTTGTCGTCATAAAATGTATAATCACTATCAGTTTTCTATATAAAAAAAAGGAAAGAAAAAAAGAAAAGGGGTGCCCAGTTATGCATAATGGGGACAAACAATCCTGTCACGTGACACTGGGACAGCGATTATTTCATTCAGCGATTGTTTCATTCAGCTGGTCCTAATTTAAGTGACATAAACATCTTATAATCTCTAATGATAACAGTTAATATTGTCTATGTTTAGACGTTACTGGAATGTTACAAAAGGGAAAAAAATAAACTAAAATATTACAAAAGAGACGAATTTAACTTTGACATTATGATAAAAAAAAATTCTTTGGGGGATGTGACGACCATGACGACGTTTCTCTTTCCTAATTAGCCGTTGTTTTCATTGTGGATAAAATTAAAATGAAAACACACCAGTAATATGTTCATTATTCATGAATAATTTCTGATTTGTTTTGCATTCCATTGCAGTCAAACTTTTTTGTTGCAGCGTAATTATTAGTATACCGGACCGGACGCGGCTGCATATCTATGCATTACTTAGATACTTTCATCTTTATTTTCACATTATTATGGAGTCTTATGTAGACGAAACGCACGTCTGGCGTATTAAATTATAATCCTTGTACCTTTGATAACTTTTTACACCACTGGGTCGATGCCACTGCTGGTGGACGTTTCGTCCCCGAGGGTATCACCAGCCCAGTAGTCAGCACTTCGGTGTTGACATGAATTTCACTTATATGGTCATTTTTATAAATTTTCTGTTTACAAAACTTTGATTTTTTCGAAAACTAAGGATTTTCTTATCCCAGGAATAGATTACCTTAGCCGTATTTGGCAACAACTTTTTGGAATTTTGGGTCCTCAATGCTCTTCAACTTTGTACTTGTTTGGCTTTATAACTATTTTGATCTGAGCGTCACTGATGGGTCTTATGTAGACGAAACGCGCGTCTGGCGTATTAAATTATAATCCTGGTACCTTTGATAACTTTTTTTTATTTAGCACAACTGATATATTAAAACCATCTAAGAAAATGCAAGCCGCAGAGCAGATATAACAGAGATAAATATGATTCTGAAATTTATTCATATATGATATTTCGTACATAAACGACAGTGCATCATAAGTCCCTAAAGGCTGGTTGGTATAAATATACATGTTTATTGACAACATACTACATATGTTTGATATTGTAATATATTGTAGTTCATGTACATGTACCAAGTTCTACTTTAAAATAAGAATATCTATCTATCAATACATCCCACACAGCAAAATGGACACCCCATTTATATCTCTTTACCCCAGTCTACCTTTTGGTGCTAGGGGTATCTGTTTCCCTGTACAACATTTTTATAAAGTCAAATTTACTTCACAATTACTGTTTTTCCTGATTTTCTTTAAAGAGCTAGAACATCAAATTCGTAATCACGAATTAAAGTGTATATGGCAATACCTACAAAAGATTAAGTTCAATTTGCCTTCAACTGCAGCAGATTAATATTTCGTGTCTTCAAAATTGGGGTGTGCCTCTTTTTATGTTTCAGGATGTTTGCATACAACATTTGTATCTTTTTGTGAGACTCATTTTCCATACAAGCAGGTCCGTATCTCAATAGTTTAAAGGGATTTAAAAGAACGACAAAATTAACAATTACTGATATCTGAGACTACTAAACATATAGTAACCTCAACTGACATCAAGATTTTTTTTATTGTGCTATTATCTGTAAACGAGTACCACAGAAAATGACCCCTCCCCCTTTTCTCTCCCGATTACAGAGTGATTTTCGTTGATCAATTACCGATTGTTGCAGGCTGATTTTCTTTGAACAGAACATCAAATTAGTAATCACGGATTGAAATCTGTAATCATAGATTTGAATTTCGAATAAAATCCGTGATAACCAAGTTAATCCGTGATCACGAATTATACAAAAATCTGTCACGGTTTAATGAAATATTTATCAATTATGGACTTTTGACGAGGTCAATACGTTATATATGGACCTGTTCAGATTACATTGACCGAGGACGAAGTCCGAGTGTCAATATAATCTAACAGGTCCATATATAACGTATTGACTGAGTGAAAGTCCTTAATTATATATTACATATGTAAATAATGTATTAGAAAAATGGACTTCAATGTTCTTTATGTGTTTTTGTTTAATTTTATTTTGCAAGATTTTTAACATGCTATTGAAAATAAATAAGATTAACTTGTTTTATTGTAAACAAAACACAGCATTTTTTTCTGTTTAGAACAAATAAGAATTCAAATGGAACTCATTTCAGTTTACTTGCAAATTTTCTATTCGTACTCTGCGGCGCTTCCGCCATGATTGTTATGTGTGACGTCACATATTTTTAATATATACCGTCAATATACGTATAAAAAATATAAATAAGGCTTCAGATACATGAAATATTATTTGAAACACGTGATTGTAATATCCAATGAAAACAGGAGAATACTACACCATATGTAATATTAATCTATGACTCACGAATTACAAAAAAAAATACGTACATGTATCAAAATCTATAATTCCAGATAGTCTTTATCTCGAATTTAATCCGGGATAACGTATTATAATTGCTGATCATTGAACTAATAATACAATTCGTGATACCATATTATATGGTCGCACTTAGCGACAAGAAGCGTGAAGAAGAGAAAAGAAGCGTCAAGAAGCGACAGGAAGAATAATTTAGCGACAAGAAAACTAACGTTTAGCGACAAGAAAATAAATTTAGCGTCAAGATATCTAAATAATGACTCGTTTTTTTTTAAATAAATAGATATAGAAACATGCATTAAAGTGTATGTGGCTTTGTTTTAAATATATGCTAATTTTCATTATTTCATGATCATAACTGAGAGAAGAAAATAAACATTTATTAATTTGTTCTAGAAAGAGTATTTGTTATCAAGGTTATGTTTAAGTAGATATATTTACAGTTAACAGTTTAGTATATAAATGAATGAATCGATTATATGTAGAGTCGGCATATGGTTGATACACCAAAGGTTCAAACCAAATTATAAGATAATCTAATCTTTATTTATTTCTCTAAAAAGGTCCATATATATAAAGATATAGGCGTAAAAAAATAATTTTCACATATGCAGATATATATATATATTCATAAAATAAATAGTAAAATAAGTAAACAAGTTAACAGTTCCAGTTCAATCGATTTCATCCTTCCATATAAAGATATATATATACATATAGAATGGGACATGGGATTGTTACAAAATGTTCAGATTGATACATACTTTAATACAATGTAATAAAATAATTTTTACGAAAATTCATTACAAGACTCATTAAGTGCTACTAAATATTACAACATTTGAAACTTTATAAAACAGCAAATAATCAACTGTTATTAATTGACTTTTCTATAAATTTATTGTTTTAAAAGTATATAAACTTTCGTTTCGCCAAATTTGTCTTCTTGTCGCTAATTTTTGTTCTTCTTGTCGCTTCTTGTCGCTAATTAGTGAGACCTGAATTATACAATCCGTGGTAACGATTTTCAAAATTTGTGATCTCGAATTCAATTTATATTTTGAGGAGGCTTCCATAGATATCCTTTGTGTTTCCCCCTTAAGGATGTTCGCTTCTCTTGTTTTTTACTTTTTGTCAGATATTCGGAATCCTCTAGTTTTATCCATGTAGTGTCAATCAAAAATTTCCCCGCTAACCCCTACTTTTCTTTTCATATAAAATTTTCTTTTAATAATGGAGGGGATATACAAATTTATATATACAATGTTTATAATTGTAGACACATATATGTTTGTATGTTTATGTATAGCCAATGTTCATTGTCTTGGTAACAATCCTATAATTTTGGATTTTAAACCAATAAAATATCTTATCTTATCATATAATTATATATAGTTTAAAAATACATTTTTGAAAATCTTATAAAATCTTGAAAAAAATAAGTGCCAATGTTAAAGGGGCACTAGCTACGAGATATATAAAAAATATAAAATATGATTTTTTTTGTTCAATCATTAATGAAAGTGAAATAGTGAAATAATATATCGCTTTTAGCAGCCAGTATGGTTCAATTTTGTCAAAATAAGCTAAGAAACATTCATTATGAAATATTCTCTTGCAAGTGAATAATTCGACCCCATTGAATCCGTATTCATGTGAACTTCAATTTAACCCCTTAGCTAGAGATAAATCAACGCATGAATCGTGCGTGATGAGTTATTTAAAGGAAAGGAATGTCAACAATGAAAGTGAAACGAAGGTAAATCATTATATTGACTGATTCGATCCACAATAAAAATCATTCTTATACAGGTAAAGACGATGATTAATATATATTTTTAATCTATAATATGAAATTAAACAGACCTAGAAAAATCCAATCGCACGAGTCCGGTTTCTATTTATATCTATATTTATGTTTATATTGCTTATACAGGTGCGGATCCAGCCATTTTTAAAGGGGGGGGGGGGGGGGTGTTCTCAACCCAGGAGAAAGGGGGTTCCAACCATATGTCCCCATTCAAATGCATTGATCGTCCAAAAAAAAGGGGGTTCCAACCCCCGGAACCTCCCCCCTCCCCTGGATCCGTCACTGTTATATGACCATCGGAGGTATTTGCAGGTCAACTCGATAGTTAATTAGATGGCGTCTAGACTAAAAAACACACGAAACGAAGCTACATATTATCGAGCCCATGCCCTGTAAATTGATTATTTTTTACTTTTTATAATTTTGATAAATGTTTTACATTGTTATAAATCAAATAAGAGAATTTGAGTCAAATCGGTGAACATGAATTTGACTGCTAGTGCCCCTTTAAATGAATGAAAAGTCTAGAGAGAATCATTTCCCGCCAAATTTTTAATTGCTTATATCTCAAAAACCATTACACGGACCTTTCAATTTTATTCTGCTTTTTAAGTTCCTTTATTGATATACTATCAATTTATAGCAGTTTTTTCTTTGAAACCTTGATATTTTATAACAGAGGAGCGAACATCCTTAAGGAATAAAGTTTAGTTTTCATAAACTTCTACATCAGTCTATTTTCAGAGCCCATAGAGATTATCGTCGTAATCGACAACTAATCAGACATAAGATGAACATTATATCGTATGTTTCCCAAATGACTATTTATCCGTTTTTGTGACGATGACAATGGGAGATAATTTGACAATGAAAATCAGCTGTTCAAAATCCTTAGTGACCTAAATTTTCTGTTATCTTTCGTTCACCTGTCCTTTACCCTGCTACCTTATAAGAGTTTCAGCACACGAAAATGACCTCTGCAAGTGTTTCCAGATTTTCTCGGCTACTACGCACAGTTTGTAAAAGGTAAATTCAAAGATGCTCATGACAAGTTGGTGATCCTGGCCAGAATTTGCAGAAAACACAGTTATTTCGTAGTGCATTTCTATTAGACAATAAATGCAAATTATAAAAATGACATTCATTATTATCATTGGAAGATCCAGGACTATCATTGAAAAGGGGAGGGGCAGAAATAAAGATTATGGGGTAGGGTGGGGATGGGGGAGGGAGCACATTACTGGTAGTCAAAAATGAAAAAAAATAATTTAAGGTTCATGTGGACCCTTTGGCTAAAATGGCTGCATTTTCACCTCATAATTTACTCTGAGTACAGACAAACCTGCGCATCTGGAAAAGTTTTAAGGCATAGCATGCCCTAGATAAACTTCTAATGCATTGTATGTTTTAGAAAATTTAAAACTTAACTGGATTTAGCAGTGCACTTTTTTTCGTCCCTGCAGAAGATGATAAAATTAACAAACAGTTGAGTTTCACTTGATATGGTCCACTCCTGTACACAGTTTAAATCACCAATTATTGTCAGGTATCTATTGTCCATCTATTGTCCATGTCAATCAAAACAGTTCACTTCAATTATTACCTGTGGGGAAGTTCTCAAACCTCTTTCCCAACTTAGTTTATTTTGGCACATTCTGGAGGAATGAAAAAAAGTGCACTGCAAAATCCGGTTAAGTTTTTAATTTTCTAAAACATAAAATATATTTGAATTTTATTTATCTAGGGCATGCTATGCCTTAAAACTTTTCCAGATGCACAGGTTTGTCTGTACTCAGAGTAAATTTTGAGGTGAAAATGCAGCCATTTTAGACGAAGGGTCCACATGAACCTTAAAGTACTTAGAATGTCAAATTTATGGCTGTAAAGATTCATACACCTCATTTTCATGATCATCGATAATTGTCAGTGTAATTTATACCTTTAGAAAGACTTGTTTTGGATATCAACCCTCCCCCTTTTCTTAATCTTCAATTTACTGACCACATCTACAAACATATACCATGCACGATTAATGTAATTTTCTTGATAAGTATTGTTATACACACACACATTACTTTGTTACTTGAAATTGTCTTGAATATCTGAAAATATATATTTTACTGATAAATTTCTTGAAATGACTTCATGGATAGGATGGCTCAATAAAACAGTCATAAATTTTTATAATTTCAGAAATTTTTATCAACCTGAGATAGCTGGGATTCAATTTAAAGGTATAAAGTTTATCTGATTTTCATTTCAGTTCAAATGACATAAACTTTAAGCATGTAAAAGATATGACAAAAGACAACTGTAACATAAAATATTGTCCCCCATGAAACATTGTCCGTTGGACAAAATTTCATATGAAATAGTGTCCGCAGACACTATTTCATATGAAATATTGTCGGCAGACACTATTTAATAATGAAATACTGTCATTGTCCATGAAATTTTGTCACCTCCTTCAGGACAATATTTCACTATGAAATTCTGTCCATGACAACATGGACAATATTTCACTATGAAATTCCATCCATGACTATATTTCACAGTGAAATACTGTCCATGAAAATATTTCTTAATCAAATTAATACAAAGTTAAAAACATTACAAACGACAGTGAACCAACGTCTGGTAAATCTAAGAATCCCTAAAGTGGATATCTCGAGTTAAAAAGAGTACACAATCATGAAGCATGCACATTTTTAGATTTTATAACTGAAATTATTTTGTAACACAACTTACGCAAGAATATATTTTATATTTCAAACAAATATTTATTTTAACATAAGCTAGTTTAAATTTGCATAAATACTTTATAAATGGTTAATAGATTAAAGAATTGTGTAACCAATAGGGGCGCAGTTGGGACTCTTGTCTTGTACTAGATCACGAAGGCTGCATTTCTGATATTAGAAAATGGTAATTCAAACATTGGTTGTTTTCTGTCCATATGTTGAATGAATCGGGATTGATCCCTTTCTGTTCTCTTCCATCTTTTGACTTTGTTCTTCTTAGTTGTTAGATTTTCTTTCGTTTTCACTGATGGTACACGAGCAAAACACATTCTAGCATAATATCCCTTTTTTCCACAGTTAAAACAAGTTTTAAAATTTGCAAAACAAATTTTGTAATGCAATACTCCGCATTTACCACATACTGGTCTTTGACTAGGAAAGTTCCATAGTCTCCATTGAGGTCTTAAATTAATCTCCATATTGTAGTTGTTCTTTAAAATAGGTAACACTCACTTGCTTCTGTTAAAGGTATCTAGGATCGTTGTTGAGCTAGGAAGTCAACATGCCCGGGTCCTCCACCATATGTAACCAATAGGGGAGCAGTTGGGACTCTTGTCTTAGCTCCCTAAATGTTACGGGGTCATGATTTTATTTGTAAAATCATTAGAAAAACTATTAAATCTTGAAGGTCACCAATATCAGGAACTAGTTGTTTCAGTTCACGAAGATCCAACACATTCAAGTTATATAATTTAATTCCAAGCCAAAGTACTAATATAACATATACAAAGAATCTTTTCAGGTCATTATGGAACAACTGCTGCAGAGAAAGAATATGCATTTGAGGTGATTTTTTTCTCAATTTCTTTCCTTTTTATGCATTATAAATTTTTTTGCATATATTTCATGTACTTATGAAATCAAAAAAAAGTTGAAACTAGTCATTATTATATGATGTTAAGATTGCAGGAAGATTGATCTCATAGAAGAGGGTCTGGATGGGGTATACAAAATAGAGAAAAAATGGTTAAGAAAAACAGAAAAGAGAAAAATAAAAAAAAAATAAATAAAAAAAAAAATAGAATCCACGACTGTCATGACTGTTTGCACACTTGTCTTCTTTGATAAGAAGTTTTGATTCTTTTGCTGTTTTCCCTTTAAACATTAGATTTTTCAAACAAATTGATTCTGATTAAATGTGAAATGATGTATTTTATAATATTTTTTCAGATGGCCTGCTCAAACATCAGATATGGAGAAGGAGTAACAAGGGAAGTAGGAATGGTAGGTTATTTTAGAACTGGTCATTCTAATTGTAATACAGATTCTGTGTCCTTGCTTACCTTACAAGGATCTGACAATGCCGCATTCTATTTTCTGTTTTAAGACCTGTTGGGATCCCATGAATATGTTGTAATGATACACACCTTAAAAAGTTTGAAAGCTGAAATTTCATTGGCTGATTTATAAATTACCAAACAGCATGAACAGAGTGTTAATTGATCCTTTTAATTCCCTCAGGCGAAGTTGACCTTAGATAAATTTGGCTATTTTTTAGGTCTTTTTTGGTCATATAGCTCTTCAAGTGATAAGGTTATTATACATTTTCAGCTTTCAAATATTTGGCTTTGAGCACTCCTGATGACGGTTAATCCAGAAAAGCCCTTCAAACACATGAAATTTATAACATGTTATTTTCATTTTTTGTAAGTTAAGCGTGGAGAAAGGATCTGTTCATTGTATTTCAATCAGATTGTTAATTGGTGTTTTCTAAATCATTAGTCTTTCAATTTCAAAGTTTCACATTTGGTAAAGTTTCAGGGTTAGAAAATTTTACATGATTGATGGTTTACAAATTTGTATTATAACATATATACTGAAGCATACCTTATCATTCCCTTTCATTGAAGCCAAGAAAATTTGATGAAAAATTTCCCATGTCAGCATGTATAATTAGTGTTTTAAAATATCAAATTATCAGCAAACAGAAAGTGGCTGCACAGCCGATGTAAAAAATAGCTGGACAAAAATGGCTTACACACTACAATTCAACTTTTATCAAGCTGCAGACCAAACATTAAATCATTCCCTTTCAAAGAAACAAAAAAAACTTTGATGAAAAGGTCTATTAGACAGACAGAGTCCAGCAGTTACTATTGATTGTCTTTGGTAACTGTTATACATGACACATTTGTGAAAGCAGATGCTGACAATATTTTTTTTTACAAGGACACAATGACCTTCATCTGAAAAAATTCAAGAATAAGTGTACTGACAAGCATTTTGTTTTACAGGATTGTAATAACTTTGGTGCTAAGAAAGTATGTTTGATGACAGACAAACATCTGGTCGATTTAGATTGTGTAAAAACAGTTCTACAATCACTGGATGACAATAAAGTCAACTACAAACTGTACTCTAATGTCAGAGTGGAGCCCACCAATGAAAGGCAAGTACAAACTCTTTATGTAGTGTTAAAGGGGCATTAGCTGTCAAATTCATGTTCACCGATTTGACTCAAATTCCCATATTTGATTTATAACATACTAAAACGTATTTCCAAATTATAAAAAGTCCCAAATAAACAATTTACAATGCATGGGCTCAATAATTTGTGTAAGCATTTGTGGGTATTTTAGTTTAGACGCCATCTAATTAACTATCAAGGTGACCTCCGAAGACTGCAGGCGGTTATGTAACCCGATATAAACATAAATATAGATATACATAGATAGATAGCGAACTCATGCAATTGGATTTTTTTAGGTCTTTTTGATTTTTTAATACAGGTTAAAATATGCGTTAATTAATGTTTTTACCTGTATAAGAATGAGTTTTTGTGGATCGAATCAGTCAATCAAATGGTTTACCCTTGTTTCACTTTCAATGTTGACATTCTTTTTCTTCTAATAACTGAACACGCCTAATTCATGCGCAGAGCTCCAGATAAGCTGCGTATTTGCGTGATCACGCAATACAAATGATTAAAAACCCAATGCAATTGCCCATTGCAGGGTTCAATAACCCAATTAATTCAAAGGAAAACCCAATTATATGCCAAAACCATGAGTTCTTAACGCTTTTATTCGCTATCGTTTGCGTTATTTACCCTTATCTAATTACAATCGTCGCGTAAATCTATTTTTATAATATTTATAATTGGAAATTTCCTTTCGTTCTAAAAATAGAGCCCTGCATCAAGTAGCTGAAATGGGTCCCTGTTGGAATTTTCCGTTGCTCAAAAGGTACACGTGTTCATGAAAACATTTCGATCTTCTCAGGGTTTATCCAATTAGCGTTTGTCATGTTTTCATACTTTTTTCGAATTGCTCGGGACTTATCGTAACATATAATGAATTAAAACGAAAGTAATGTCCGGTAAAAATATTGAATAGAAGCATGTTTTCAGCTTCTTTTTGATAGCTGAGGACAAGTTATGATGATAACAAGACTCATCTAGTGTTTTATGAAGCGTCCGTCGAACGCACGGGCGTGTTTGCGTACCTTAACGAGAACATTGCTAGAACAATAAACACGGGGTTTCTTCAAGAACGAAATCAGTTGGAAAAAGTGAAAGGCCAAATTAATTATGACATGATATGTAGTTGGAAAGCATCGGAAACCAAAAGTTCTAATAAGGGACAACTTAACCCAGATTTATGTTAATTAAATTAAACAAAAACATTCAGGTATAATTTTAGTTTATATATTATTTTTTCATTTTAGTTGAGTGAATACACATATCCGTTTTTTTACGTCAATGCAGCTTGACACTTTTTTTATTTTGGTCTAATTGTTCTGTATGCTTAAGATAGCTGTCTTATTGGCAAGTGTTATTTATTTATTTAATGTTGCAGAATTATTTGTATATTGAAGTTGAATGTGGTGTCCGTAATTAAACCACCCTTTAAACCTGGTCAAGGTTTTGGGGTATATCTTAAATCTGGGAACTACTTATTATTTTTATTAAAAAGTAGATCTGGCAAATAGGTGAAAGGACTGGCAAAACTTTCTTACAGCACCTAAATTTCACATAAATTACATAAAAATCTTAACACTAAGCCACACCTACCCCAAATAAACTGTAGGATATCATATGGGATCTAGAAAGGTAATTAGTTACTGTCCAACTATTGATACCAGCTGCAGTTTATATAAGTTACGAGAAAATACAAAACTGGCAGAACGTTTAAAACGGGACACAAATCAAACGTACAATTGCTCGTCAGTGAATAAACCAAACAAAACAGCTAGCACATATACAAAGAAAGAAACATATTAAAGATGGAAAAACATCTTGGGTTCATATAGTGTGATTATAACATGCCTAAATATTCAATATTGTGTTGATGAAAAAACCCAATACATTAAGGAGCTTGGTGGTGAAAAACCCAATTTGATATTTGCTTGAGGGGTGAATCGGAATTGATAATGCAATTAAAAAACTCTATCACCCAATTACATAAAAAAATGATGGGTAAAAACCCCAATTTGTGAATTCTTATCTGGAGCTCTGCATGCGTAACCTATCTCTAGCTAAGGGGTTAAATTGAAAGTCACATGAATACGGATTCAATGAGGTCGAATTATTCACTTGCAAGTGTATAATTCATCAGCGCTGTTTCTTAGCTTATTTTGGCAAAATTGAACTAAACTGGCTGCTAAAAGCGAATTATTATTTCACTATTTCACATTCAAAAATGATTGAACCAAAAAAATCATATTTTATTTTTTTATATATCTCGTAACTAGTGCCCCTTTAAGTGGGGTAGTTTGATCAAAGACAAATACAAAGTGTATATTCCTCCACCAATAAGAACTGGTCAATGATTTTTAAATGAAAGTCAAGATAATACTGCTTTGTTAATATCTTTGAGTTATGTAAATTTGTTTCCTTTTCTTTCCTGTATTGCAGCTTTCAGGCAGCCATAGATTATGCCAAGGAAGAACAATTTGACCTGTATATTTGTGTAGGAGGTGGGTCAGTGATTGACACATGTAAAGCAGCCAATTTGTATGCCAGCAATCCGTCTGCAGAATTGTTAGATTACGTCAATGCCCCTATAGGCAAAGGTTTACCTGTTACTCATACATTGAAGCCACTTATTGCAAGTAAGTACATTAAAAAAAAAATAAAAATATAGGGAAGGACCTAAGTTCACCAAGGACACCAGTCAGACAGTCAAAACCAGTGAAATTCTTGTTGGACCAGCAGACAATGGTAGAAAGAGAACTTTTTGTGCCAAATATGCAATGATTTTTTCAGATTTTTTTTATATATGCTAATTGCCCAGAAATTTTATGGTACCGGTAAATTATAATTTATGACTTGATCATGTTGATTGAATGTCCAGTGAACCACCCAACTACTTTGCCATCTCTGGAAGACAGAAAGCACAGTTTTAATAATATCTGGATATTTTCAGTGAACCATCCAACACTTTTGTCATCTCTGGAGGACTGAAAAGACAGTTTCAATAATATCTAGATATTTTCAATAATATATTAATGTTGCAAATTGCTTTTTTCTTTTTTCATTTTGCTATTTCTAGGGAAATTCGTTTTCACAATGTTTTATTTTTCACGATTATTTTGACCCTTATATTTGATATTCTATATATTATATATAAACTTATACAGATCATATTATATATATATCTTGCAAATTGAATTAGAAAGGGAACAAAGTTTACATTATGTACAGTGATTCATTTATTTTTGTGGGTAAAAATTTTAGTGGATTGAGGAAAAAACATATTCTCATTGATATTTGATTTCATGGTTTTGTCAAAATCTACCTACAAGCCTATAGAAAATTACCTCTTTGTTGGATCTTTAAATTGATGGTTCACCTATAACGACGAAATCCACAAAAAATGTTATTCCACAATAATAGATTAGTCCACAGTTTGTAAAAAAACACTTTTCAGTCAGTGTCAACTGCATTTAGATAGTTTCTCTGTAATATCTCTGAACTACATGGTAGATCAGTGACACATCATTTTTTCACAGGGGGTGGGGGACACAGACAGCATTGGGTATTTGAACTTGCCCTCTAACGGTTTCTTCTTTATTTATAAGTTTGTTTTTCAGTTATCTTTTCTTTAACTCCATATCATCCTTATATTATTTTCAGTAACAACAACAGCAGGAACTGGTAGTGAGACAACAGGAACAGCAGTGTTTGATTATCTCCCCTTGAAATCAAAAACAGGTTTGAATCTTACTAGTATATGATAGAATGTAAACAAAGTTTTTTTTATTCAGCATTTCTCCAAGAGTCTGAAATGTAATGGGCACTCTTTTGTTATTTACTCACAGTGTTGTATATAAAATTACAATGGCTTATTTGTATAAATTCTCATCAAAGTAAATAATATATTGAAAAATAAGAATGTGTCCATAGTACACGGATGCCCCACTCGCACTATCATTTTCTATGTTCAGTGGACCGTGAAATTGGGGTCAAAACTCGAATTTGACATTAAAATTAGAAAGATCATATCATAGGGAACATGTGTACTAAGTTGATTGTACTTCAACTTCATCAAAAACTACCTTGACCAAAAACTTTAACCTGAAGCCGGACAGACGGACAGACGGACGGACGAATGGACGAACGGATGCACAGACGGAAAAACATAATGCCCCTCTACTATCGTAGGTGGGGCATAAAAAAACCATAAAACAATCCTTTTGTCAATTTGGTAATAAAGGCTGGAAATATATTTACAAAAACATTTATGTTCGCTGATGAAATTCAAAATCATGACCTTGTGTAATGCCAAAATATAATTATCGACAGGATGTAGAACGTGTGAATTGCTGGATAGTAATACATGTTTAGTTATGTGTAATATTTAAAGCCCTCACTACAATGTTCAATTGATTATATAACCTTTAAGAACAAGATTTTTCAAAGGACCAATAAACTTATATGGATCACGTCTTGTTTATAAGGATTACTTAACTTGAGCAGGAACATTAAGAATTGTCAGAAATTACTCAATAAAATATACAAGAAAAATGCCTCCCCTAAGGGAGAAATAACTATTTACAGAACTAAGAATTACTATCCTAAAGTGAAGTAACTCCTATTCAACTATGCAATATCAAAACCAGCTATAATAATGTCTAAGGGAAATAACTTTTACTTGTTTAGAGAAATGGATTGAGAACTGTTAGATATTCATTCTTTTACCTTTATTGTAGGAATATCCAATAGAGCAATTCGACCAACATTAGGTATTGTAGACCCTCTTCATTTACGTACTATGCCAGAGAGAGTAGCAGCTTATAGTGGTATAGATGTTTTATGGTAGGTTAGGTTAGAAAAACTACCCAGATATATTGTGAAGGACAAAAATTTAAAAATATTTGAACATTGGTTTTGTTCATAACAGTGACTGATAGAAATTAGAACACGAGAGAATCTTTTAATAGAACATAATATATTAACAGTGAAATTTACAGGATTATGAATGGCAAATATGGGAGGAAAATATTGAAATAGATACTGTGGATTCATAATTATTCATTGGATACCAATTTTCCTGGATTTCGTGGGTACAGGTGAACCACGAATTTAAATGTTCAATGAATTACAAATTTTCTATCAGGTTGTATACAGACTTTAGCAAAACCACGAGCTCACATATTCATGAAAAAAGCAAGTTTTCCGCAATCCATGAAAGTTGGTACCCACGAAAATAACTGAATCCACAGTATTAACATCTTTATGACTTTACATGGACATGCAGAGCATTTCCAATCTAAAATTTTGAATTTGTTTTTCCTGTAAAATGACAATGACAAAGTAGCATTAAAAAATGTTAAGTTAATGTTGATTGAACAAATTACAATGTATTGAAGAGATAGAATTACTTTGAAGAGGGACATAAAGGGGGATATCTGCACGGACAAACACGAAATAAAATGTCAATGAAAAAAATTTAAAAAAACAGGCACAGTTACACATTACTTTTTCACCAAATTGCACAAAACAAGGTGAATAATGAGGTTCAAGCATGAAAACACTTGAAATAAAAATTTCAAACACTTCACATAAAAGAAACCTTTTTCCACCCTCTTTGAACTAATTGGTCAGTGGTAATACTTATATTAGTCATTTTATACACTTGAAAAAGTAAGAAATATTTACTGGTATAAATTAATTTATCAGACTTTCTATTTCTTTTCGATGTTTGAATAATGTCACCTTATCCTTTTCCAAAAAATGAATTATACAAGTAATTTTTATGCAAACCCTGATATTATCATATTTTGGGGGTTCAAAATGTGCCTCAAAAATTTTTTTCTGGGTTGCTTACTATTTTCTTGTAATAAAGAGTTCAACCCTTTATCTTGTGAAATCCCCAAGGGTGACTGGGGAAAAGAAATATGGTCACCATTGGTCTTCCTCCGACAGGCAGTAGAACCCTTGCCAAAGTGGGCCGTCTGTTTGGCTGTGCGGGATGTATCAAGTTTGCAGCCACGTCCGGTCAGAATGGGGACGTTAAATCCAATGCCTCGTGTAGAGAGAGTGTCACGCTCTTTGCACGTTAAGAACCCTTGTAACAACTCTTTGAGAGGTCTGTAGGTGGCCTGTTGCTCGGCAAAATTTCTGTCCATATCCAAGATACTCTCATTTCCCTTGGCAGTCCAAATTTCCCGACCTTCATCCCGGATGGCCTCTACTGTAAGACCTACCTATTGTATTCATTGTTAACTTGTTCTCTTCCTGAACATGCATGACATATTTGCCACTGGACGTTAAGCAACCAACAATCAATCAATCAATTTATCTTGAGAACTAAAAAAAGATTTTTTTCCTTACATAAGTAAAACAAAAATGACTAAGAGAGATAACTCTACTCCTCAAATGATTTCCCTTTACCAGTAAATAGAAAAGAACAAATATTACCCCTGGCTGTAAATAGACTTGTTAATTTTGTGACTGCCAATCCTGATTTCAGCTACTATAGTACTATTTTTTCTTTCTTTTCTTTTTGGTCAAATAGCCCTTCAACTATTTCAGATATTATACATCTTTGATTTCAAATATTTGGCTTTGAGCTTTCCATGAGGAAGGTAAATTCAGAAAAGCGCTTCAGACGCATGAAATCAAGAAAGTCTTATTTTCATTTTGTTTTTCAGTCATGCTATTGAGTCATACACAGCAATACCATACAGAGACAGAGTAACTGGAAGACCTGCCAATCCAAACTTAAGACCCGCCTACCAAGGTTGTAATCCAATCAGTGATATCTGGTGCATGCATGCATTAAAGATGACAAACAAATATCTTAAAAGGTATGCATATGCAAACTGAAAGTCGTTTAATGAAATTTAGAAAAAGGGATGTAAATATATTTATTTCTGAACAAATTCTTTTGAGTCATAAACTATATCTCTGCAAAACTTTGTTATGTAATGCCTCATGAGGTGATGAAGACCCTATTAATTTGGGGGTAAATAATTAAAAGGTTAAGATCTCAGCAACCCCCAATTGACTGAAGTTTGAGTAATTTTGTTCTTGAAGTTATCTTTTAAACCATATATCAAACAATACAACAAAAATCAGTTTCACCTAGTACTACAAATCAATAAACATGATAAAGATTACAACTCAGCTTATACATCCATGGTTCTTCTGTAGTTTCTTTTGTGTTGTTTACACTTTCTATCTCACTAATGTTTACATCACATTTATTTTTATTTATATTTTATATATTATGAATTATTTTGTTTTATATATATTAAAATTAGCATTATATATCGAAGAAAGGGGCTGATTATATTTAAAAAAAAAGGCATTCTCAGCTATACCTTTTTAGCACAAATGTTAAATTTATTTGCATGCTGGCAGTATCTTTTGTTTTTTGAAAAAGGATAACTATATTGCGATGTTTTTATTAAATCCACCAGTATCAGGTTGGCAAGTTGGCAATAAAAAAAGTTGCATTCATAATTTTTAGTAGTAATTTTCCATCATATCTATATCTGGATTTACAGTATTTTAAACATTTTTTTTTTGTTATTTAAGAGTTTTTCATGTTTTTAGTTTATTATATAGAATATTACCTAATAAGATTAATGAATATTTGAATTCAAAGAGCAGTTTATGATGCAGATGACATTGAAGCCAGAAGTAATATGGGATTAGCATCAGCTTATGCTGGCATTGGTTTTGGTAATGGTGGTGTTCATTTGTGGTACGACTGAATACCACATTTCATGTTTTATTTTTATTTTGCTTTTTTAATGGGTTCTTTGGATAGAAATGATAAAATGGAATACATACATTAATTTATCTTTATTGTTTCATTTAAAGTTAAACAATAACTAAATGCTGAGAAAATGAAATTGAAAAAAAATGTGTAAATTACGTATGTTGATGACTAGCAGCTATTATCAATACCAATTATAATCAAACATATAGAATTAAGAAATAATTAAGAAATATCTTAAAGGTTCAAACTGTCTTGGTCAAAGTTAACCTTTATAGATGAATCTGCCTTTTTTATGTGTTTTGTTGAGGACTTTTGAAATCAACATCCAGTTATGAAGACGGTTTTATATTGAACAATAAAGAAAATTATGCCAAAGTTTCAATGTATTCCATTTTTTATTGTATGCTTGCTTACTGTGAATTCATTATTGTTTGTGGTATTCCAATTTTCATGTATTTGTGGGTATAGGCATACCATGAATTCAAATGTTCAACAAAATACAAAATTTCAATAGTCTTGTATGCAGAATTTGTAAAACCTCAAATTCAAATATCAACAAAAAAATGCAATTTTTTGTCAATCTACGAAAATTTGTATCCACAAAAATGAATGAATCCACAGTGATTAGAAAGAGTTATTGTTTTAGTCATTTTAGTCTTTTGTTAATATATTGGAATTATCCAAAAATTTGGATTGAAATTTTTTTCAAGCAGAGTTTCAATGGGGAAATTATTTTTACAGAAAATGCAACAATTCTTTTTAGAATTTGCAACTCTTTTATCAATAAAAATATATAATGGATATCTTTGATAGTGCCAAAGTGTTTCCAATTTGTTATGATTGATTCAATATATCTGATTGTTTGGTTACATGAGTATCTTTAATCATGTTTATGAATGTTACTGCTTGCCTTATCTTTGTACTTTCTTTCTAGAATTGTAGATGTGATGGTTAACTAACAGCATACCAAATATCCTTATTTTTGTATTAATAGCATGACTTTTTTTTATGCCCCTGCCACTAAGTGAAGGGGGCATTTAGTGTTGCCCTTGTCCGTCCGTACGTCTGTACATCCCAAAATTGGTTTCTGTTTTCTAACTTTTGTTTGCCTCAACTAAATTTTATGAAACTTATACACAATGCTTATTACCACAAAACGCAGATCAAGGTTGAATAAGGGTGGCGTCACTTTTACAGTTCTCTAGTTATGTCCCTTTCTAATGTTATATGCAAGAGGGGCATCATCCGTGTCCCATGGACACATTCTCCATTTATTTCTTTAATATCTGATTGTCATTAACTGCATCATTTGTATTATATATGGAGGACATAATTTAACTGGAAAATATGTAATGTATTTTATTAGGGAATTAAATTTTTCACCTTTATGTATGCAAATCTTTGGGTCATAACTTCTGAAGTTCAGTATAAACAATATTTTGTTTAGAAAACAAATCATAAACATGTACAGCAATTCAATGCAAGGATTGGAAAACAAGTGTCAAGTAACATATACAAATTCATCTCCTAAATAAGATTTCAACATGACAGGTATTTGTATGCAGCATTTTCTGACATCTTGATATAGAGTTTAACAGTGGCAATAATGAATGCATGCAAAAATGTTTGAATTTACTGTACTTTTTGTTAAGTATAAATATCAGTTTGTTTTACTGAAATTGAGCACTCCTGAATTAAAACTACTTTGACATTATATATATTCATATATAAATATATCGTATCCCAAGGCTGAAGGTTATATACAGGTTTGATTGTATTCAAAACCTTGTTTAACACAGAATAATCTGTGGAGGGAACATAACTGATTAAATCAATTTCATTTGGACTCTTGCTGTATAAAGGTGTCTCATTTGCAATTATACCAAATCTCCTTATTTTATATACCGTAAACCAACTTACTTTTGTGAGCAATTTATTTTCCTGAATTTAGCGAGTAGAAAAATAATTTGAATATAAGTCGTCTAGAAAGGGATCAACGTGAAAATAAAGTATCCCGGAAAAGAAGTTGGTTTACTGTAGAAAAAAATGTTTTTATTTGAAAAATAACAAAGAAAGTTCATTGTTTTCAAATTGTTGTATATGCATTCTAGCTTTTCCTTTGCATCTGTCTTTTCCAGAAGATCATGATTTAAACAAATTTTCTTCTTAAACATTGTTTTTGTAGTTAATTTAGGACTTAATCTGAACACTATATATAAGATGTGCAGCCACCAGTGACAAATGGATTCATAAAATCCCCCCAAAAATTCACTTTTGAGACTCTCCTGTGTTTTACTTCAGAGCTGTTTATGACAAAGGTGATGTCGAAGCTAGATCAGAAATGCACATGGCAAGCTGTTATGCTGGTATTGGGTTTGGTAATAGTGGAACCCATTTATGGTAGGAATCAGATCAACTGGAATAGTTAAATCCTTTAAAAATGACAATTGCACAGATCAACTGGAATAATTAAATCCTTTAAAAATGACAATTGCACACTAAATAAGGATTAAATGACCTATTTAGAAGCGTCTTGACATAATTTGGAATTATAAAATAACATAATACAAGAAAATTGTGTTATGCCATCAAAATTTTCATATTCATTTTGTGTTTGTTTTCTTTTGGATTAGAGGTTAACCTCAAATTAAGGAGGTTGACCTAGGTGAATTAAAACTTGAGAACATCACTGAAATGTTTGAGTCAAATATTTTCATTAAAATATATTCTAAACTTCTACATAACACAGATAGTTTTTAATTCTGTTTCACATGATTTCTTAAAAATACATAGATGAACATAACTATTATAAAACACATAACTGATTGAGAAGGAGTTATCTCCCTTTATAAGGTCTACTCTTAAACATTGCCTTTTAAATTCTCAATTGTTACTTCTGAGCTGTTTGTGGTGAATGAGATGTGGCAGTTTGTTGCAATGCTTTAAGCTTTCCTGCTGGTAATTAACTTTTCGATAACTTATGCATAGTAATTACTAATGGTTTCATAATTACTATATTGAACTGTTTTTCATTTAAACAAAACTAATTTTCTTGTCATTATTAATTGATATGATATGTGTAGCAATGGATATATAATTTAATACGGCTTTGTGAAATTGTAAAATTTATTTATGATATAGACTTGGTTTTGAATGCTCTTTATATAGAATTAACTGCTAACCTCATTACGAAATTTTATTCATTCAATTTTAATTATACTGTATACATTTGAAACCCTATACATTGGTATCAGAACAACTTTATCAACATCAATTAGTTCATTTTAAAAGTTTTTACAGTTGATTTAGTTTTTTTCAAATAAGTGATTGAATTATCAGCAGTTCACTAACCTTCTTGGAAAATTTTAAACCTTTGTTTTAAGAATTTGCTGAATACATAAAAACGAAAATGAAATAAATTAATTATAAAGATGGAATACTTAAAAATGTGATAAACAATTTTGAAATCAAGATAGTTTCATTTTTTTATTTAAGCCATGGTATGTCATATCCTATCTCAGGACTGGTTAAGAATTTCAAATCCAAAGATTATGACGATGATCATCCTATGGTGGTAAGTTTCATTGATAAAATACAAATACTATGTAAATAAAATGTAGGTATAAGGTAAAGGGTAAGTGCAGTAAGGGTTATATTTGACAAAATTTTAAAGTCAGATATGCAAGTTTACATTACAAACATAATTTTAAAAGATCTTTTTTGTTGATACATGAGATCTATGTTCCAAGTCTTGAAAAGTCAATGTTTTCAAACATTTTCGTGAAAAATCAAAATTTGTGTTATTAGTGACATCATGAAAAGAACACTATTATGTACATTATCAACAAAAAGAACAATTTTCTGTCTAGTTGTTGTTTATGACCCATTGAGATATTGGTCAATAAATTCTTATTATAAATTTTTGCTGGAAATACGAGCCATATTACATGTATTAGGACCTTATTGAATCTACTCCTTTTTACACAAGTTTGTCAAAAATCTCTGCAAGGATTTGAATAACTTCACCCGGCTAATTGACAATGCCCCTATTACTTTAAAAGTCCATGAGTTCATGTTTATAATACTACACTTGGATCAGTATAAAGCATTTAGTATTCAATCAAACCCCTACATTGTATTTTTGGCTCCAAAACTGGACTTGCAAGAAATTATAATGAGCTTCAGTCGAGTAAATTCCTATTCAACCATGTATGAAATAAACATACACAGCAACAAAAAGTAAATAGCCACATAATGGTTTGGTTAATGGTTTTGACAATTCATTAAACATGTTTCATTGCCTTGTACCATCCATTTAAATGAGCTGTGAAATGTTTGGGTAGGGTAAATTTTATGGTAAAATGTCTTCAGCGAAAATGGTGAACATTAAACACATGATTTATTTCTTTCAGCCACATGGACTGTCTGTTATAGTGTCAGCCCCTGCTGTGTTTAACTTCACTGCTCCAGCTTGTCCAGAGCGCCATCTACAGGCAGCAGAGTTTTTGGGTAAGTATCAGAAATGATTTGAATTTCAGTTATTTTGCCTATTGCTAATGAAAAATATTTCTGGATTTGGTTAAAAGCTGTTAGAAAAAGGACACTTGAAAGGGATGGAGGTGTTCTCAGATTTATATGAATTATGTTTTTTTAATTCAAAGTCAAAATTATCCCAGAAGTATTGCCCAATCTTTTTAAGTAAACTTAACACTATAATTTGATAGTAAAATTTAAAGTAAACAAACTTTGAGATGTTTCTAGGTAAACACTAGATTTAATGTCCTCATTCTGACTGGACATGGCTGCATATTTATAAACCAAAAGTGATACCCCAATTTGGCAAGGGATTTACTGCTGGTCTGAAAAATTCCAAAAGTGACAAAATTTGTATACCCTAGTCACTATTGATAATGATAGGGGAAAACAAACAAAAATAGTTTGTTCTATAATAGAAAGATAGGAATAAAGAGAAAAATGATGTGAATAAAAATGATGCAATGATATCAGTAAATTGAATGGTGTAAACTTTAATGGAATGATATGTATAAAGAGAAAAATGATATGAACCATAATAATAGGAATAAAGAGAAAGATGGTATGAACTATAATGGAATGAAAGAAATAAGAGAAAAAAATGTAAATAATGATGGAATGATAGCAATGAAGAGCAAAATGGTGTTAACCTTAACAGAATGATAGGAATAAAAAGAAAAATGGTGTTGACTTTAATGAAATAATAGGAATAAAAAGAAAAAAATGGTGTTGACTTTAATGAAATAATAGAAATAAAAAGAAAAAAATGGTGTTGACTTTAATGAAATAATAGGAATAAAAAAGGAAAAAATGGTGTTAACTTTAATGAAATAATAATTGTAAATAAATTTAACAGTGGCAATCAACAGATCTGCCATGAACTCACACTTTTTTTACAGGTGTGGATGTCACAAATAAAAGAAAGGAAGATGCTGGGCCAATTTTATCAGACAGACTTAGACAAATCATGCAAGATTTAGAAATGCCTGATGGCCTGGCTGCCTTTGGATACACATCTGAAGACATACCCGCTCTAGTCAAGGGAACATTACCTCAGGTATGTGCTTAAGGGGATAAGTTGAAGCAAACATGGTTAGAAAATGATATGAAAATGCCTGGTTATCTCATTAAATTTCAGAAGATATGAGGCAGTAAAACACAATGCAGCAGTTAAAGAGATGCCTTGATATGGGTAAACATTATTCTGCATTGTCCTTTCAGTTTAATAGGTATGGAAAAGTAATGGAAATGCAGGATTCAGAGATAGCTTCTATTGATATACTTGAAAATAGAACTGTAATATCCTCTGTAGTCTGCTGTAGATAAATTGTCTCTGAATAATCTTGACGTGTTTAAACTGATGACATGCATTCACTTATGAATCTTTTCACTTCTTTTTCATGGGATGAATTTACGGTTCTCTGGTGGGTCTGCCTTTTTAGCTCACCTGGCCCGAAGGGCCAAGTGAGCTTTTCTCATCACTTGGCGTCCGTCGTCCGTCGTCCGGCGTCGTCCGTCGTCGGCGTTAACTTTTTACATTTTGAACTTCTTCTAGAGAACCACTGAATGGAATGAAACCAAACATGGCATGAATGTTCCTTATGAGGTGCTGACCAAGTGTTGTTACTTTGTAGCCGATCCATCATCCAAGATGGCCGCCAGCGGGGGACTTAGTTTAACATAGGACCCTATGGGAAATGCATACAAATGACTTCTTTTAGAGAACCACTGAATGGAATGAAACCAAACATGGCATGAATGTTCCTTATGAGGTGCTGACCAAGTGTTGTTACTTTGTAGCCGATCCATCATCCAAGATGGCCGCCAGCGGGGGACTTAGTTTAACATAGGACCCTATGGGAAATACATAAAAATGTCTTCTTTTAGAGAACCACTGAATGGAATGGAACCAAACATGGCATGAATGTTCCTTATGAGATGCTGACCAAGTGTTGTTACTTTGCAGTCGGTCCATCATCCAAGATGGCTGCCAGCAGGGGACTTAGTTTAACATAGGACCCTATGGGAAATACATACAAATGTCTTCTTTTAGAGAACCACTGAATGGAATGAAACCAAACATGGCATGAATGTTCCTTATGAGGTGCTGACCAAGTGTTGTTACTTTGTAGCCGATCCATCATCCAAGATGGCCGCCAGCGGGGGACTTAGTTTAACATAGGACCCTATGGGAAATGCATACAAATGACTTCTTTTAGAGAACCACTGAATGGAATGAAACCAAACATGGCATGAATGTTCCTTATGAGGTTCTGACCAAGTGTTGTTACTTTGTAGCCGATCCATCATCCAAGATGGCCGCCAGCGGGGGACTTAGTTTAACATAGGACCCTATGGGAAATACATACAAATGTCTTCTTTTAGAGAACCACTGAATGGAATGGAACCAAACATGGCATGAATGTTTCTAATGAGATGCTGAACAAGTGTTGTTACTTTGCAGTCGGTCCATCATCCAAGATGGCCGCCAGCCGGGGACTTAGTTTAACATAGGACCCTATGGGAAATGCATACAAATGACTTCTTTTAGAGAACCACTGAATGGAATGAAACCAAACATGGCATGAATGTTCCTTATGAGGTGCTGACCAAGTGTTGTTACTTTGTAGCCGATCCATCATCCAAGATGGCCGCCAGCGGGGGACTTAGTTTAACATAGGACCCTATGGGAAATACATACAAATGTCTTCTTTTAGAGAACCACTGAATGGAATGGAACCAAGCATGGCATGAATGTTTCTTATGAGATGCTGACCAAGTGTTGTTACTTTGCAGTCGGTCCATCATCCAAGATGGCCGCCAGCGGGGGACTTAGTTTAACATAGGACCCTATGGGAAATACATACAAATGTCTTCTTTTAGAGAACCACTGAATGGAATGAAACCAAACATGGCATGAATGTTCCTTATGAGGTTCTGACCAAGTGTTGTTACTTTGTAGCCGATCCATCATCCAAGATGGCCGCCAGCCGGGGACTTAGTTTAACATAGGACCCTATGGGAAATGCATACAAATGACTTCTTTTAGAGAACCACTGAATGGAATGAAACCAAACATGGCATGAATGTTCCTTATGAGGTGCTGACCAAGTGTTGTTACTTTGTAGCCAATCCATCATCCAAGATGGCCGCCAGCGGGGGACTTAGTTTAACATAGGACCCTATGGGAAATACATAAAAATGTCTTCTTTTAGAGAACCACTGAATGGAATGAAACCAAACATGGCATGAATGTTCCTTATGAGGTGCTGACCAAGTGTTGTTACTTTGTAGCCGATCCATCATCCAAGATGGCCGCCAGCGGGGGACTTAGTTTAACATAGGACCTATGGGAAATACATAAAAATGTCTTCTTTTAGAGAACCACTGAATGGAATGGAACCAAACATGGCATGAATGTTCCTTATGAGATGCTGACCAAGTGTTGTTACTTTGCAGGCGGTCCATCATCCAAGATGGCCGCCAGCGGGGGACTTAATTTAACATAGGACCCTATGGCAAATACATACAAATGTCTTCTTTTAGAGAACCACTGAATGGAATGAAACCAAACATGGCATGAATGTTCCTTATGAGGTTCTGACCAAGTGTTGTTACTTTGTAGCCGATCCATCATCCAAGATGGCCGCCAGCCGGGGACTTAGTTTAACATAGGACCCTATGGGAAATACATACAAATGTCTTCTTTTAGAGAACCACTGAATGGAATGAAACCAAACATGGCATGAATGTTCCTTATGAGGTTCTGACCAAGTGTTGTTACTTTGTAGCCGATCCATCATCCAAGATGGCCGCCAGCCGGGGACTTAGTTTAACATAGGACCCTATGGGAAATACATACAAATGTCTTCTTTTAGAGAACCACTGAATGGAATGAAACCAAACATGGCATGAATGTTCCTTATGAGGTGCTGACCAAGTGTTGTTACTTTGCAGTCGGTCCATCATCCAAGATGGCCGACAGCAGGGGACTTAGTTTAACAAAGGACCTATGGGAAATACATACAAATGTCTTCTTTTAGAGAACCACTGAATGGAATGAAACCAAACATGGCATGAATCTTCCTTATGAGATGCTGACCAAGTGTTGTTACTTTGTAGCCGATCCATCATCCAAGATGGCCGCCAGCGGGGGGCTTAGTTTAACATAGGACCCTATGGGAAATACATACAAATGTCTTCTTTAAGAGTACCACTGAATGGAATGAAACCAAACATGGCATGAATGTTCCTTATGAAGTGCTGACCAAGTGTTGCTACTTTGTTGCCGATTTACTGTTCAAGATGGCCACCAGGATATTTTATTAAATAACGGGACCAATATTAATCAAAATTTGGCCTCAATCATTATTTGGGTATCTGTTATGATTTTTATCTATCTTTACATGATTTCTAAAACCAAAGTAGAGTCAGGTGAGCGACACAGGCTCTTGAGAGCCTCTAGTTTTCCAGGCCTTTATTGTCCTTTAAATGAAATTAAAAGACAGGACATTTGGATCAATATTCAGTAAAGCAAACATGAACTTTAGTCCAAGTTAAGTAATTTTAAGTATTGTGTGGTCATGTTTAACAGGGTCCATATCAATCAATTCCTGTCACTCAAACATTTTAATTTATCAAATTGACAAAGATTTCATGTTAGCATTTGATTAAAAAAAAAGAATGACATGTGTACTTTTGAAGGGACTGAAATGTTAGTGGTGTGTATTAGTATTTACACAAAGTATTTATGAGGACAATTGTAGAAAGATACATGTTGTAATTTATTAAACTTGATGAATTCATGAAAAATATTACTTTCCTTATCTGTTTTTGACATTTTTACCCAATATATATATAATGGAATTCTATGCGATTGTCATACAAGTGAGAGGTTTAGCTAGCTATAAAACCAGGTTTAATCCACCGTTTGCTAGGAAATGCCTGTACCAAGTCAGGATATAAAATGGCAATTGTTTTCCATTTGTTTGATGTGTTTGAGCTTTTGATTTTGCCATTTGATAAGGACTTTATTTTTGAATTTTCCTGGAGCTCAGTATTTTTGAGATTTTACTTTTTATGTCCCCTCTGTAGGGGGGGCGGGGGGGGTAGGGGGGCATTAAGTTTTACCCTTGTCCGTCTATACATACGTTGGTTTCCGTTCTCTAACTTTAGTTTGCCTCAACCAAATGTTATGAAACTTATACACAATGCTTATTACCACATAACACAGATCAAGTTTGAATTTAGGTGGTGTCATTCTATCTGTTCTAGAGCTATGCCCCTTTACAAATGGAAAAATTGCTGAATTTTTCGTTTCTGTTCTCTAACTTAAGTTTGCCTCAACCAAATTTTATGAAACTTATACACAATACTTATTACTACAAAACTCAGATCAAGTTTGAATTTTGGTGGTGTCACTTAAACCATTTTAGAGTTATGCCCCTAAACAAATGGAAAAATTGCTGAATTTTGTTACTATCGCTAACTTAAGTTTGCCTCAACCACATTTTATGAAACTTATACACATACTTATTACCACAAAACTCAGATCAAGTACAAATTTGGGTAGTGTCACTTTTACCGTTCTTCAGTTATGTCCCTTTATAACTTTATGTGATATGCAAGCGGGGGCATCATCTGTGTCCCATGGACACGTTCCCCATTTATTTCTGTAAATTATTACATGGATGTATTCTTGATACATGCCTCATATGTTTATAGAGTGATCCACATTATATACTCATACTGTATTTTATTAACCATTGTCATGCAGAAGTGTAAGATTTCTTATTCATTTGAGGTATCAGTGGTGGGGATCAGTTTCCGTTAGGGCTGTGACAATACCCCAAAATTGTGATGAGTTGAAACTGAAATCATAAAAAAAAATAAGTCTTCTTGACATTTTGTTGGCACACACATACATACATTCTATGAATATGAATGATTTCAGCTTGGAAATTTACCCATGCTGATTCGAATAACCTTTGATTAACAATTTAAAGATCAAGAATAGCAATAAGATCTCATGTTTAATTTTTTATTGTTCAGAAACTTGATAATGTCACTCCCATGTTAGTTGATGTTAAACCATTGTGGTGACGTCAGCCTATTCATTTACCGTGGATTCTTTTTCTAGAATCAACGCTTCCTAAATCTGCCGCTGAAATTGACTCACCAAATTATATTCAATTGTTTCCTTTGTGTGCCTGATTTCATTAAGTTTGAATTGGCTAATTTACTGATTTCTGTTCACTAATGGAATTAATTTAAAAACTTACCTTTAATTTTTGTAATTTTTATATGCCTTCACTGGGAATCGAACCCTTCCTTGAAATCTGTTATGTGTGACTGACATCAACAAATCGACGAAACCTCTCGGCTACCAATGGGTTACGCTATAGATGTCTATTTTATATATTTAAATGAACATCTGATATACATCGGTTCATCGGACACACAGGGCTTGTACCTTTATATAGACACAATAGGCAGTTGTATAGTATGAGTTGGTAGCCGCGAGGTTAGCATGGTTAAAATCAATGCGTTAAAGATAGGGATTTGTCGCTTTAGGTTCGAATCCCTGTATTCTCTCTGTTGTTCCAATTCTTAAGTTATCCTGTTTTTTTTCTAATTTTGCATGTTATAGTGGATATTTTTGTAATAATAGCGAGTTTTACCGGGTTTTGTTATTATTATTGGCTATTTCACATGTTTGAAACAAAAATGATTACATTCTATTTCACAATTTTTGTTTTATAAATATAGTATGATTTCATCTGTTTTACTATATAATTTTCCAAAGGTTTGTTCGCAAATTCCTATGCGAGAAAATCGTGATGTGCCTAAAGTGCTAGAAAAAATTCGATAACATACTTATTATATATACTTTATATATGCATTTTGGTCGGGTTGTTGTCTCTTTGACACGTTCCCCATTTCCATTTTCAATTTTATTAGAAATAATTTCGAATATGTCTTATTTTGTATAACAGATAATATTCATATGCCTGGTAATATAAAGATCTTTAAAGTAGAGGTGTTATAATTGTATTTTGTTAACCAATTAATTGTGATCTGAGATTTATCAATGCATCGTTGGACACGATAACATGGTTATTTAAACTCACTTACAATACCTTATGATTAAGAAAAGACTTTAATTTTGAAAAGAAATTAACACAATAGTTTAAGTTATAGATACAATGGATAAGCGTAGATTCCTGAAAAACAAACCATTCGCCCTCCGGGCTCATGGTTTCTTTTTCAAGAATCCACGCTTATCCATTGTATCTATATAACTGAATCCATATCTTTGGTTTTTTTTTCGAAGATACATATTGACCTCTAGATGTTATTTAGGTGCTGTGTCATATACATTTACTCAATATCTCCTCATGTCTATCATACAACATTCAAATGGACTATTTTCATATTACCAACTTTTGATTCCAGAGTTAATATGTTTTTGACAGGTTACCTTTTCTGTGGTTTTGGCATCCTGGTACTGGGCCAAGTAAGAGCAACTTGAAGAAGTAAAATCAACCTTACAATCGGTACAATTTGGGGGGGGGGGATTTACTGATTTATGTTTTCTTTACATGACAAAATGATTGGAAAACAGAAAACTTCCCCCCCCCCCCAAATTGCACTATTATATGTTTGATTTTACTTCTTTTGGTTGCTCTTACTTGACTGAGTACTAGGATGTTCTACCACAGATGAGGTAACCTGTCGAAAAAATTATACAAACCACAGTCAAAAGTCGGTAATACGAAAATAGTCGATTGAAATTTTACTGATTTTTGTCTCAACAAATTTTTCTTTTAAATTTCAGCATAGAGTTAACAAATTGTCACCAAGACCACAGACAGAAGATGACTTTGCTATGTTGTTTGAAAATAGTATGAAGAATTACTGATCAAATTGTTATAACAATTCTAATGCAATGAACAAATGTAGTGATTTCTATAGATAATCAGATGTAGCAATGAAAAATGGAACACAGGGTAATTGTTTTGATGCTTACCAATATCTTGTATTCCTATATATCTGATAGGAATTTTAGAGGCAGTGGAGTGCCAGTAAAACTAATATTTTCATATCTCATTCAATAGCATTAACTCTACAAAAACATCTCTATTCTTTTAATTCCTTTTTGATAATTTACAGAAGAAATAATTCCTTTCTTTTTACATTGAACAACTTAAATGGAATAGAATTAAATTCCACATAATAATGTTTATGCTTTTTCTGCACATATATTCAGTACGTTTGCTCAGTTGAAGTGAATTAATGAAACATTTATAATTCAACTGTTGTTTTTAGGTAAACAGTAGATATTTGGGAAATAGAAACATATAAATTGCATTCTTATGTTTGAGAAACAGTGTTTTTCTTTTTCTCTCCTATCACATTGTTTTTTTTATAAATATTTTGTAGTATCTAACTTCCCATATGATATATTTTTACTTTTCAATGCATGCTTAAGTTAGAAAAGTATAATCAAGCTTTATATATTACTGAATAATTTCAATCATCAATTTTGTATTGCCCCTTTTGTTTCAGTATAGTTGACTAATGTTTAGACTTAGTTCAACATTTCTGTTGTTGCTTAGTTTAATTTCAAAACTGTCTTTAAATTCTAGTCTTGTTTAACAGTGGTATATAGTTGCATTGTAACATTGTATACTGTAAACCTACACTGTTATGTATAATATATATACAAGTGTCTTTGTTTGTATGATTCGAACAGATTTGAACTGCTTTTTAAAATATTTGAATATATTATGTAAATCAGATTTTGGATTTATATATATATATTTGTTAATCACAAAATTGTTATGCTCTTTGATATATAATACAATTTATAGATAAAATGATTTGTGTTTATTTGATGCCTGATGTTTTCCTAAACCTCCAACAGCAATAGTAGCAAAAGAGGGACAAAGAATACCAGAGAGACATCCAAACTCATAGATAAAATACAGACTGACAACGTCATGGCTACAAAAGAAAAAGACAAACAGACAAACAATAGTACACAAAACACAACAAAGAAAATAAAGACTAAGCAACACAAACCCCACAAAAAAAATTGGGGGTGATCTCAGGTGCTCTGGAAGGGTAAGCAAATTCTGCTCCACATTTGGCACCCGTCATGTTGCTCATGTTATTACAAACCCGGTAAATAGCATCTCTGTCCTCAATGGTTGATTTAATCTTCACTGATTTTAATCCTGGTATCTATGATGAGTTTATAAGTATTAATTTATTACAAATACAGTTCATGTGTTGCAGTTTTTATACGACCGCAAAAATTGAAAATTTTTTGGTCGTATATTGGTATGACGTTGGCGTCGTCGTCGTCGTCGTCGTCGTCGTTGTCGTCGTCGTCGTCGTCGTCCGGCGTCGTCTGGCGTCGTCCGAAGACACATTGGTTTTCGCACTCTAACTTTAGTTTAAGTGAATGGATCTCCATGAAATTTTACCATAAGGTTCAATACCATAAAAGGAAGGTTGGGATTGATTTTGGGGGTTATGGTACCAACAGTTAAGGAATTAGGGGCCAAAAAGGGGCCAACAATAAGCATTTTTGTAACTTCCAGACAATAACTTGTGTGTAAGTGTATGGATCTCTCTGACATTGTACCACAAGGTTCCATATTACAAAGGGAAGGCTGTAATTGATTTTGGGGGTAATTGCCTCAAAATGTTAGGAATTAGGGGCCAAAAAAGGGGCAAAAAACAAGCATTTTTCTAGTTTCATGACAATAACTTGTGTGTAAGTGTTTGGATATTTCTGAAATTGTACTACAAGGTTCCATATCACAAAGGGAAACCTGGAATTGATTTTGGGGGTAATTGCCCGAAACGTTTAGGAATTGGGGGCCAAAAAGGGGCCAAAAATAAGCATTTTTCTAGTTTCCAGACAATAACTTGTGTTCAAGTGTATGGATCTCTCTGAAATTGTACTGCAAGGTACCATACCACAAAGGGAAGGCTGAGATTGAGTTTGGGGGTGATGAATCATAAGGGGGTTCAAAAAATTTTGGGGGGGGATTTTTTTTTTTCTTTTTTTTTTCTTTTTTTCCTTTTTTTTTTCTTTTAAAATTTTCCATTTTAAGTTGGTTATTTCTGATTTATATTTAAAAGCAAATAATAATGATATGGTAGGAGATACACACCAAACAGGATGTGTAAATTATTATATAATAAGTATTGTGCAATAGCAAGAAATTTTCAATTGCACAGTATTGCACAATAGCAAGAAATCTTCAATTGCACAGTATTGCGCAATAGCAAGAAATCTTCAATTGCACAGTATTGCGCAATAGCAAGAAATATCCAATAGCACAATATTGCGCAATAGCAAGAAATTGTCAATTGTACAGTATTGCGCAATAGCAAGAAATAATCAATTGCACAGTATTGTGCAAAAGAAGATACTTCGTATAAATTGCTTATTTCTTGATCAATTTCAATGGGGTTTTATTCTTGAATTCTTGGGGTTCTTTAATATGCTGAATCTAACCATGTATTAAGTTTTTGGATTTTGGGCCCCGTTTTTAAATTGGTCCACATTGAGGTCCAAAGGGTCCAAAATTGAACTTTGTTTGATTTCATCAAAAATTGAATTATTGGGGTTCTTTGATATGCCGAATCTAACCGTGTATTTAGATTCTTAATTTTTGGTTCTGTTTTCAATTGGTCTACATAAAGGTCCAAAGGGTCCAAAATTAAACTTAGTTTGATTTCAACAAAAATTGAATATATGGGGTTCTTTGATATGCTGAATCTAACCATGTATTTAGATTTTTGATTATGGGCCCAGTTTTCAAGTTGGTCCAAATCGGGGTCTAAAATTAAACTTTGTTTGATTTCAACAAAAATTGAATATATGGGGTTCTTTGATATGCTGAATCTAACCATGTATTTAGATTTTTGATTATGGGCCCAGTTTTCAAGTTGGTCCAAATCGGGGTCCAAAATTAAACTTTGTTTGATTTCAACAAAAATTGAATATATGGGGTTCTTTGATATGCTGAATCTAACCATGTATTTAGATTTTTGATTGTTGGGCCCCGTTATCAACTTTGTCCACATTGAGATCAAAAGGGTCCAAAATTAAACTTTGTTTGATTTCATCAAAAATTGAATATATGGGGTTCTTTGATATGCTGAATCTAACCATGTATTTAGATTTTTGATTATGGGCCCAGTTTTCAAGTTGGTCCAAATCGGGGTCCAAAATTAAACTTTGTTTGATTTCAACAAAAATTGAATATATGGGGTTCTTTGATATGCTGAATCTAACCATGTATTTAGATTTTGGATTATGGACCCAGTTTTCAAGTTGGTCCAAATCGGGGTCCAAAATTAAACTTTGTTTGATGTCAACAAAAATTGAATATATGGGGTTCTGTAATATGCTGAATCTAACCGTGTATTAAGTTTTTGGATTTTGGGCCCCGTTTTTAAATTGGTCCACATTGAAGTCCAAAGGGTCCAAAATTTAACTTTGTTTGATTTCATCAAAAATTGAATTATTGGGGTTCTTTGATATGCCGAATCTAACCGTGTATTTAGATTGTTAATTTTTGGTTCCGTTTTCAAATTGGTCTACATAAAGGTCCAAAGGGTCCAAAATTAAACTTAGTTTGATTTTAACAAAAATTGAATTTTTAGGGTTCTTTGATATGCTGAATCTAACCATGTATTTAGATTTTTGATTATGGGCCCAGTTTTCAAGTTGGTCCAAATCGGGGTCCAAAATTAAACTTTGTTTGATTTCAACAAAAATTGAATATATGGGGTTCTTTGATATGCTGAATCTAACCATGTATTTAGATTTTTGATTTTTGGGCCCTGTTATCATTTTTGTCCACATTGAGATCAAAAGGGTCCAAAATTAAACTTTGTTTGATTTCATCAAAAATTGAATTCTTGGGGTTCTTTGATATGCTGAATCTAACCATGTATTTAGATTTTGGATATTGGACCATAATAGGTGAATGTCCAATTTAAAATTTTTAAGTTCTTAGACCACATTCATTCTGTGTCAGAAACCTATGCTGTGTCAAATATTTAATCACAATCCAAATTCAGAGCTGTATCAAGCTTGAATGTTGTGTCCATACTTGCCCCAACTGTTCAGGGTTCGACCTCTGCGGTCGTATCAAGCTGCGCCCTGCGGAGCATTTTATTTTCTATTAAATGGAATTTAGACAAATCTTAACTATATTTGATCACAAACTGTTACTTACAATCACATCTGAAAAAAGGATGCAATTGACACCTATATGATAACTTAATCTTGTCGTTACAACTTATTGCTGCAAACCTACACTCATATTTTTCAAGGAAAAAATAAATATTTTTATTAATTTCATCACATTCCCAGTAAGTTTATCTACCATATTTATATTTTTCATTACACACTAATGTTTTATATGAGTTGCTGCAAAGTAACTTGTTCAATTCTCCTTTAAACCAGGAGCAGTGATGTAACACTACAACATAGATGTTTAAATACCATATTCAATCATCTAATAGTATGAACTATGATCATAGTAATTACAACCACTATCAGGAGCAGGATCTGATTACCCCTTTGGAGCACCTGCGATCATCCTTAGATTTTGTTTTTGTACGTGTAGCTCTGCCTTTGTTCTCTATACTGTTAGTCTTTTGGTCATTTTTCTTTTTTTGCCATGCAGTCAGTTTATTATCTACTCTGAATGTCCCCATGGTATCTTTCACGTCTCTTTACCAATATACTTTCTAAACAATAATTATTGCTTCAAACTAAATATTATTTTATTTTGTATTTACATAAACAAAATATACCAATAATGCAAATGAAATATATAAAAATCTGGTACAAATTGGTAAAAATGTAGTATGAGATGGCTGAGTAGGACTTGTCAAAGATACGAGTTGACATGGATTCGTAAACTCTTCTGTTTAAATCAATGAATGTTTCACGGTGGCGTATATATATGTTGTGTACATTCTACTCCTTTGTTCATTGCTTGATCTACTTAACCTTCTTGAGATCATCCCTTTCTTGTTGGTACTTGTGTTTTTATTATTTTCCAAAACTTTGCAATGTATAAATAGCACTCATCATACATAGATACCAGAATAAAAATCATGTACGGTAGACACATGTTTCATCTTTAAAAGACTTGATCTTCATTGACGCTCTAATAATAATTATAAAAAGTTTGTAAACTCGTGTTTGTCCTTTCGTTGTTTTGTTTTTTTCGTTTTTTTTGTCTTGAGTTGTCAGATATTCTTAGATTTTTATTTCCCCTTTGGAGTCTCCTCCTTTTTTGGCAGTTGATTCGTAGTCAATTATACCACATCTCATTTTGTTCATACTAGATATCTACAATAAACTATATGACAATAAACCCGAAAATCCACGATTGAACGGTCTGCTCTTTCTTCCTTTGGAGTTTCAACCAAAGATTAAAAACGGGACATCCCTTAAATTTATCAAATTAACTCAAGAGTCCTTACAAACATCTTTAAAAGTTGCTGATGTAGTAGTCAATATATAAATACCTTTAAAATTTATCAGCAATCAAACCTAAGTTTCAGTTCATTTTGATGCTTACCACTCTTAAGAGTAGTATGAATCAGAGGCATATGTGGATACTAAAATGTTCCACAGATCTCTTCGAGAACATGTAATCTAAGTCTCCCTCCTTTGACTTCTGTCCTCTTTACTCTTCATATAATACTAGAGGTTTTCTCCCCCATACATAGATTACCTTAATTCACATTAAGAGACATTTATTGCATAGATATCATTCTTCAGTATATGAGGGTTTGTCCTTTTTGCAGTGTAGATTCATTTTACCCTTCGAACAAAAAACAACGATTTAGAGAAATGATTGACACACAATTTATGAATAGCTACAAAAAAACACGACTTCATATTTGTCATTTCTGACTTTTTTGGATTCCAGAATTCGACTTTATTTTGCCAAATAAATCTAGAAAAAAGTTAGAAAGTTTAAATTCATATGATATCGAATAAAACAAAATTTATTTTTAAAAAGACGTTTTTAAATTTATATTTGTGGGAATTTTTTCTTCTAAGCTAGATTTCTTCAAATGTGTATTATTATACTTATTGCCATGAAATCATTTGAAAGATATAGATATGTATTCCAAAATGATATCATTGTGTACACATAAAAATAGTTATATGTGACGTTTAATTTTGAGAATTCACAGGGAATTATACAATTAACCTATTAATAGCTTGTATTATAAATACATCGATTGTTTTGTTTTTGTTTTTGTTACATTTTTTAAAAGAGGAGTATTTTTTTTTATTTGTAAGGCTAGAACTCTGTATCTGTTAACATGACTATTTTCTATTACTGGAATACGGATTATCCGTGTCATTCGTTGTTTAGGAAAAAAACATGCTAAAAATATATATACGGTGAATTCCCCGTAAATTACTTTTCTAAATATAGCATTGATTATATTTTTTAAAATTTAAATCAGTTACTATTTCTTTTTAATTTCATTAATGTCTTTCTTCAGGACAAGAGAGAGTCGCAGACAACAATATGTAAGACAATACTTTTAACTTGATAATACTTTATCCAAATATTGTAGCCTATTTTAACACAATGTTCATTCATTATATAGGGGTGCAAGTAGGGTGCCCAAAAAGTGTGAAAGAAGGTCACGAAATAATAAACGGCCATACATTTCTTTTTTGTGAACTGGATGGGGTTGTCAGCTTTTTGATGTTTGCATCACATATTATATTCTATTCAATTGAATTGGTATTATAAGTTTTACCCCTAACTTAAACGGGAAAGTAGATCTTTACAAAACGATTTTTTTGTGCTGGGTTACATGGTCCTACATGTTATATTCACTTTTGAAGAACCAAGGATATTTTTTAACTCAATGTTTGAAAAAATTATAACTTTGATTTAATGAATTCAAATATAAAATGATCATCCATTCTAAAATGAAACAGAAAAGATATATATTTCGTTATCATTATATAATATTTTGATTCATTCTTATTAAGGTTTTCGTGTAATTTATATTGGTTGCATTTTTTTATGCGTTGACTTCTTTTCTTTCTGTTCTTTTTCTCGTTTCGTTTCTTTTTATTTCATGTCGTTTCCATTTCGTTTTGCACTTTACAATAATCACCCTTCAAGTTAAAGAAAAAGTTACAAAAAAATTATTGAACTGTTTCATGTGTTTTAAAAAAAACCAACGATGTCGCTCGTCTATTCAGTATTTTTACAGTTAATCCTACCACCATGTTCTTATGTCATTTCATTTGATTATTATCTTTTCTAAGTTGTGAAGATGCCTTGAGTCATCTAGTCTTCTTTCATCTATATCCAAATTCCCACCTTTTGATAAATTCGCTGCCGGTTACTTCTTAGTTGACCAATCGTTTTGTCGTAATGAAATGATAGGGTTACGTAATCAGTTTTTAATTGTATATGGTTATTTGCAATCGAATTTTTAGAGATATATGAAAAAAGGTAATGGTTTCAATTGAATATAGAATATATGATTTGTCAAAATGAGACAAGAACATGAAGAACATCAATAAAATATATAAAAGTCTACGCAAATGCCACATTGACTTACGATATATTAGCTTAGATATAATAAGGAAAATGTTCTGTTTGTTAAAATGAAAAACTTCTCTGCATCAAGCGTTTTCATCTTTTACAAAAAGTTACAATTTTGAAGAGAAACACGAGAAACACTGAAATAAACTTTACCCTCGCCTTCATGGTCTTCGCAAGAAAGAGAAATTAAGCGCTTGTGTGTCTTAACAGAAAATACTATTTATCAGTCTCATGATAATCTACGCTGAAATCAGTCCAATTTAACATTAAATAAAGCAGCGAGTAAATGAAGACAAGAAATGACCAAATTTAGTACCTTTAAGGCCGAATCGTCTACCTAACAAAATCTCACAAAATCCTGTAAGTCACAATAATAACTTACTCTTATGTTGTTTTGGTTTGTGTTCAAGGCATTGTCATTTCCGTTGCTTATGTGTTGCCTTTCCAATCATGTATATTTTGATACCTGCGACCCTTTACATTATACTTTTTCGGTTATACAGGTATTCTCAATTTGGTCCTCTACATTTACTACTTTTGGTTTCAATCAGAAATGTTGTCAATTATTTTTGCTGATATCCTATTCCCTGTTGCGTACTAGAGATTTGCCACAATGATGTCATTCATTTGAAATAGTATATATATTTAGGGATTTTGGTAAATTAAAGATGTATGTCTCTTCTAATCACTACATATGTATCCCTTTAAGATTTAAAAAAAAAAACTTTATTGAATACGGTCTTTCATATTGTGTACCCCTATTGGAGCCTTTAGTTATCATGAAATATTAGATAACACATGTACCATGTGTACTTCCTGGTTCACAAATGAATGCGATGTCTTCATTACCTGAGTAATACAAGATTTAACCTATCTCCTCTTTATCATATATATAGTTCGTATTAAGAATACAATTCAAGAAATCAATAGAGTAGATAGATTTACTATTTCACAGTTGTTGTATACTATATTGATTATAATGATATATCTTTAGCATGTTCAGCATGTAAAGATTTCTTTTGATATGTTAAATGACCTATTTATTTATGTGGAATAGATATAGCTCATATACATTCTTTTTGAATCTTGAAAATTTTGTCTTGGACAATCTATAAATCATTTAAGCATATATTTTTGTCATATGACCTGACAAATACATTTTGAAAAAATGCAAACCTTTTCTTGTTAACGTTGATTCCAAAATTATTTCTAAATTTAGGCAAGCATTTCCGTATCTATAAATACATAAAATAAAGATTAACACAAATAGATATTTAAAAAACCTCTATCATTGGTAATCAAAATTCGAGATACATGTGTTATGCTTGATTTATTGGTAATTTGGTCTTTTCGCATGTTAGGGGCAAGAACCTGCATTATTTTTTATTAGATGACTTTTGTGTCAACTTAATGAAATGCGGGAAGTAGAAATGCTGACTGCCTCGTTGCATGTGAGGGGAAACAATTTTGTCTAGTAACTGTTTTTTATAGTACGTTAACCACCGGTTTTTGTTGGGGTTCTTGTTGCTCAGCCTTTGGTTTTCTATATTGTGTTTTGTGTACTATTGTTTGTCTGTTGGTTTTTTCTTTATTAGCCATGACGTTGTCAGTTTATTTTAAACTAATGACATATAATAATAATGTAATTAGATTCTCATTATGTTCGGATTTGAATGAAATATGTTATAATGAGCGATTACGTGAAATCGAGTTGAATAAAACCATGAAAAAGCCTGCAAATTATTTATGAACAACAAAAAGTCGATACATTTTACGATTGGTACTCTTGATCGAGTAACACTAACCTGTGATGAACGGTCATGATAGCAAATTGTATTGTCAATCCTTTCTCCTTTATCATCTTTTTCAGTCATTCCCTTATCGTCGTTTCACGGCTTTAAGATATGAACACACATTATCAACAACGAACAATTGCAAATGTTTAAGGATATGTTATCAGCGACGTCACAGTATATTAGAAGATGTTATAACACTAACTTTCATCAGGCGTAAAACGGTAAAACGGAGTTGGGTCTTAAAAGGTTAAACAGTTTATCCGGTGTTCGATATCAATATCGAACAATAACAGCCGCTTGACACAATATGGACCTTTGTAACTCGTTCACTGCACACACTCGCTAAATCGCTAAATAACCATAGCACTCTCCAAACATTGGCATTCGGCTAAGACGCTTCGAAACCAACAAAACGTTGCCCGTATTTATTCATTTGACCCATTCCAAAAATAGACGTTACCATCGGTTCGAGGGATTTAATGTAAGAGTAATTCTATTTGTAAATCATTGGTTTCATTTTACTGTATCATTTCAAAAATAGATAATTGGTAATCCATTAATGTTCGGTCAACATTGCCGTCTGACCTGCACCAGCATTTCATTCAAATAATTCACATGATTCCAAAAGAGCATATTTCTTCTGAAGATCTGTGACACTACTGTTCCTTATTACAATTAACGGTTGAAGAATAATTTTCAAATAAGACACAAAATTCGTTTACATATGCTCAAGTCGAAAATCCATTTTGATTATACAAACCAAGAGAAAACAAACTAGGGAGTCGCATGGACTTCAAAAGAGTAAAGACCTGCACTGCGACAAACTCAAAAAGTCAGTTGGTAAATTAATAGATAAAACGACCGCTTTGATTGATTAAGATCAAGCACTGCTATAAAATGTCTATCGGGAGTTAAAACATTTACAATGTATCGTTCAAGCAATTTGTGGTGTCGACCAAAAACTGTCCTTTGATCAATTTCAGTTGTGACGGGATATTTTTTGCCTCGTAATAAACAAACTTATAAGTCCGAATAATGTGGAAACAGCGTGCGTAACTTGTGGATGTATATATTAACCTCATACGATGAGGCTACGTTACTATTCAGAAATTAGAAATAAAAAATGTGGAAACTGAATTTGTTTTTATAGACGAGTGGCACACGTGGAGCAGGATCTGCTAATCATCCCATTTCGGAACACATGAGATTACCAAGGGTTCGAGTTGTTCAGTCTTTAGTTTTCTATGTGGTCCATGGTATTAATTTGTAGCTAAACAAGAAACAGCCCCAAATCGTTTATCATATCAAACAGGAATCACTACCTAAAATTACATTTGAGACTTATAGACGTTCAAAGAATTGATTGAATTTCTACACTTAAATGAAACCAGGAGAACATCAAAATTCGATTAGATGACAATATGCCATAAGAAGCTGACCTTTACTTAAGGTAGCACAATACAAAGATTTTTTCACCCCAATCAGACAACTTTAAACTGATGTAATTTCTTTCATCCAGCTTTAAATTTTATAAATGAGGTACCAAAAGAAAGAAGAAAGATTAATCTTTCAAATGGTGATAACTTCATTATGACATGATTATTATATAATTGACTATTATGTAATTAGTTGCTATATTGTGATGTCCACACTTGCATGAAATTAGCTTCTTTGTTACTCATACTATCCCAAAATATTTTATAGATTCTTATGCAACACAGTTTGACCTCCAAGTGAGGGTCTCAGATTTTTCCTGTTGTATTTCATTCTCTCATAAACCTTCAATGAAGTTTGCAACCTCGATTCATAAGAGATCACTAAATTAAATTGGGTATAAAATTTGTTCTATTGATGTTTTTGGAAATCCGAGAAACTGTTTTGAAGATAACTGGTCAAGGAACAACATGTGTGAAAATCAGGCATATAGGGGCACCCATATAGGAGCTAATTTCATTTGAAACTACATTTTCATGACAAAAATGAATGTGTCACAATTGAGTAAATAAGGATTTTCCTACTTGTACCCAATTAACTTCAATATAATTCACACATCATGGGGATACTTCAGGATTGGCCTTTAATCATAAATCAATTAGGTTTTGACCAATAAGAAAGCATTCCAATTCAGCAATTCTAAATATATAAAGAAAATGCACACCCTATGCATAAAAAATCGGATCTGGCGGGAGATGTTATATCATTATTGACCTTGCTGTAAGTCAGTTGCTACTGATATGGTAAAAACTCCGCCCATCATGACAAACCTTTACTATTAATGATCTCAGAAGTTTAATTGTACATTGCATTTACTTTTTTCAATATGGATTTTATTCCTTTAGTACATAAAATGATAAATTTTGTTTTTTGCATTGTTACAAAAAGTAAATTATGCATGTGTACTCAAAATGATCAGTTGGTCAGTCTAGAGGGTCCTTATGGGGGATTTCTAGAATTATAATTGTATACAATGACAATATGGTGTTTGACACAAAGTCGATTTGTTTCATTTTTTGCAGTTTGAAAATGAAATATTTAATTTGTATTTTCTTTTAAAAAGAATTCATATTTAAACATTCTCCTCAAGAAATTCTAGTATAAACATCAGCAACATTTATTGTTGTATAATTATATTTGTTTAATATTTGTACATTTATATTTTGATTCCCTCTATAGCTCCAAATAGTTGTTTTGTTTTTTCTCCTGGCAGCTCCAATACAGAAATGTATTTTTACTTGGAATTCATTATCTTCATTTTTCCATAAATCCTTAATCCAACACTTTTTCATAACTGTTATTTTTATTGCTGGTCAGTGGTTGTAAAGCTATCAAATGATTCTATTGATTAACCACATAGAGCTGCCCACATGTTCTTATCTTGTATCAGTCAGACACGTGCATTTGTTTATAAAACTTATTATCATCAAAACTCAATAACAGTGCAAGATATGTAAATAATTTTTTCTTCTGTGGTTTTTGAATATTAATAAGTAACAAAAACAGCTGAAAAAATGAAATTTTGATAAAATTTAGTTGCTTTTGTATTGTGCTACCTTAAGTTAAAATAACATTATTAATTCGCTACTTGCAGCATATACATATTGAAATACAATGTTTTATTCTGATTTCTGTAGTCATATTTAAGTTTACAAAATGATCATCTTTTAGAAAAAATGTCCTCAAGTTAAACACATAAATTGTTTCATACCATAAAGTCGAAAAGGACCATATATAAGCCTCTGCTAAAATTGATTAAGTGAAACGAAAGAGCTGGACGTACATGTCAGGGATGGGGTAATCGTAATCGATTGGAATTGATTACATGTTTTCAAGTAATCGACAGTCATCTGTAATCGATTACAGCAAAAATTATGATGTAATATATGTACTGCATTGAAGTAGTAAGCTAACTTGTAATGAAATTCCTTAAAGCATAATTTTCAATAAAAGTTAGAATTCAAGCTTAGAAATGATAAACTGTTGATTCTTCATAAAATTATGATATAAAAATAAGAAAGTCTACAAAAATATTTTGACAGTTAACCAATGCATTGAAATTTTTTGTTCGGTAATAGATACATGTATCCTATATTGACACTAAAAATATATATTGTTTATAATTTTGAATAGAGAATACAAAATTCTCAACAACCTTTTTGTTTTACTAATCAGATGATCATAGACTTCTAATTAATGAGGTACAGACTTTGTTTTGATTTCAATTATGTCTAATTAAGTGAGAGATTTATTACTCAAGGTTATGAATATTCTCCATTGGCAGTTTTATAACCAGTAATTAGGAAGGTTATCCAAACAAAAAGATAAGTTCATTCATGTAATTAGAATTTAGAAATTTCCATCTTTAAAATTTACTGAACTAATTATTCTACTTTTTTATATATATTATTCAGGGGAAACTTCCAAAATTGCAATTAATTGTATTCAAATATTGAGTAAAAAAAACACAGATAAGTCAGTTTAACAGCAACAATTGGTAAAATATAGAGAAAAGGACTTACAATATGCCTTACAATATACAAAAGGAATTGACGCAATGGTCGCGCATTTCAAGAATGTTCTCATGTTTATAATCATCCACTCAAGAATGTTTAAATAGGTCGAATCCTTAGTAAGAGCGTAAGCTTTCATCTAGAAAATATTTGTCAACATAACATTTGGAAACAATGCTTTAAAAGCTGTTTTTGTAAAGTTCTAAATATCCACTATAAATACGCTGAACAACAGAATTGTGTAGCTTGTAATTGACAGTAATCGAAAAGTAATGTTATTACTTTTAATAAAGTAATCGGTTGCAATCGATTACATACACACATTTGAGTAACCGATTACTAATCGATTGCACAAAAATCCTTCAAGTAATTGATTATTAATCGATTACATTTGCCAGTAATCGTGCCCATCCCTGGTAAATGTATAGTCTAACATTCTCTTATAATTTGGTCATACTGCTATTTTATTTACATGTTGATTCGACTAAAATACATGTTATAGCTTCATCTGAGAGTGTATATTCTTATTAATGAAATTATCACCTAAGAACTGAATGCATTATATTTACCAATCAATTAATAAAAGGGATAAATAACTAAAAAATAAACTATTGAAGAACACGGGCAAAGGAAATGTGCCATAAAATAATGTCCCAATGAATCATTGTCCGTCGCATGTCCGTCGCAAAGTGTCATGTTGTCCACCGACACTTTTTTCATAATGAAACACTGTCCAGAACAATATTTCATATTGATATCATTATCCAAATATTATATGCAAATAACCTCCCTTTGATGAGACAAAATTTCATGACAATCCATCTTTGAAATATTGTCTAAATATACAAAGAAATAACCTTAGATAATTTGCCTTTACCATGATAAAATTACATACTTATCATCTATGAAACGTTGTCTGTATATGGATATTTGTCTTTCTTTAGAATTTTTTTTATAGATGCAGACAAATTTCACGATACATAGTCATGAGCTATTGGTTTAGGGAAAAATACTCCATACGACAATATTTTGTTTGAAATAAACGCATTAACAAGTGATCGCTATAATCATTATTTATAGAAAAATAATTCTCCAATCTCAAATCTCAAATCTCAGCACAATAATAATCAATTCTAATCACATATCTTAATTTTGATCGGAAAATTCGATAATCATTAATTCGTTTATTTCAAGATTTTCTTAGCGTTACTAACGTATTGAAGAGGCTTATAGTTTTGATCCCCTATTACGAACAAGAAAAGTAACGTAGAATATATGCACTTTCATCCAGATTATACCAATATCATTCACAGCATGCCTGTAGACAAAGAATCAGCTTTTTTCAACTTAAAAACGCTTGAGGGAGAAACAATAACTTCTGAAGCACTGTCTACTGAGGAATTGTCGAACATTATCACAACCGCGAAGAAAGAAAGAAAGAAACTATTTGTGTCATTCGACTGGACGGAAGTACATTCCAAACCAAAGGCATTGACAACAGTTATTATCGCATGGGCAACAAAACAAAACAGCAAGTTATTTGAAAGGAATGTCTTGACAATAGAAGAGAATGATATTAAAAGCACTTTACCAAAGATAAAAGAAATCCTTGAGGATAGCATCACCACTAAGGTTAGTGTTATGTCAATTTGCTACATAGACATATAACAAGTGTTTATCGGATGTATATATTTTTTGTTTTTCTACCTTTTCAGAGATAGCAACGTATTAATCTATTTTTCATCATTAACCAATTCTAATGTGCTTTTTTGTCAAATTTCAAATAATTCAAAGTAATGACGTCTTGTACATAACAACGATCTGAATTTAAAAAAAGTGCACAATTGATCAAGTTTCTCCATATAGGGTTATAGAGCCATTAAATAAAGTTAATTATCTCCCTTGCATTGACCAATCAATAAAGGCAACAGTAGTATACCGTTGTTCAATAGTCTTTATTCGTTTAAGCAAAAACAAACCCGGGTAACAAACTCAAACAGAGGGAAACATATCAACTATAAGAGGAAAACAGCGGAAAAACAGAAACACTGAACTACTACAAAAGTAAACGCCAACAACATACATAGAAACGGACTGTAAATAACAACTGCCATATTCCTGACTTTGTACAGGACATTTTTAGAAAAAAATGGTGGGTTGAACCATGTTTTAAAATTTGGCATTTTAACACGAAGTATAATAAAACAGATTGTTCCTTTAAGTCGGGGTTATAACTTCATTCTAACATGAAGTTCTTCAAACGCTTTGAGTACACACCCGTGGTAAAATATGAATATATTATTTGGGCTGTTCCGATCGTACTCCCGCGTCATATGCTTTTTTATGAATGAGCTACCCGACGTCATAGAACGATAAGACGTAAGAATATAAGCATTTTACGGGAAAATACACGCTTGTGAAACCGAAAATCATCACAACAAGGAAACGTAAACAAACGATGCAAAAATGTGTTATTTAAGCCATTTTTTGTATACATATAAGACATATAAGTACAATTATCATTTAGATTCATCCAAACCTATCTAAATATGTTATTGTAAATAGTTTAAGCATGTCATTTATTCAGTTTGCTCCGGTCTTTTACGTCAATTCAATAGTGCGTTTATTTATGGGAACGGCAAATAAAGCCTTCATCTAGAGCGCTTCGATCCAAAACAATTGCCGTATTTGTCCTATTAGGTCAGGGTAAAATATTTGTCATAAAGGGCCAACCCGTGGTAAAATCACGATATATTCAAGCCCCCATGAATTATTTCGTAAGTATGTTATGACCTTTACTCGTTAATTCGGTTGTCATAACCATTGATATTTTACATATTTGTGTGTAAGATATCCTTACTTTAAGGAAGTTCGCTACTCAGTTTCAATATAACAAGCTTTTCATGACACTAGAATATATTGATAGGGGTCTAATAAAGGATCCAAAAGAGCGAAAAAAAAATATAGGTCAGTGTGCTTGTTTTCGAGATATTACTCATTGAAATTTTGGCAAAAAAATGTTCTCTCTTGAATTATCATAGCTTTATCATTGACAAGTTCATTAAGTTCTCAAAAACAATTAAAAAAATAACATAGATTTTATAAGGCTTTTACAGATGACTTATAATTGTACATGTAAAATTTTTATAAAAAGAAAGATGGGGGTAAGTGGGCAATTTGTTTAAATCATTCAAAGGGATAAAATCAGAGGATTCCGAAAATCTGACAAAAATTCCAAAACATGACAAGCAAACATCATTAATGTATAACTTTAAAATTGAATTCATAACCTGAGTTCTACATGTACCTGCAATATAAACTGTTTATATACATATGCATTCTTTCTTTATTTTAATAGGTAACATTTAATCCGAGAGCAGACTTTACCAGCTTGTTACATTACGGAATCAAACTTCAGAATATATTTGACATACAGGTATATCTCCTATGCATGAGTAACATCAGACAACTGTTTGACATTCTGTGGATTCATTATTATTCTTTGGATACCAATTTTCGTGGATATAGGTTAACCACGAAATTAAATGATCAACGAATGACAAATTTCCTATAGTCATATATGCAAACTTCCGCAAAACCACGAAATTAAATATCCACGAACATGTAAGTTTTTCTGAATCCACGAAAATTGGTACCCACGAAAATAAGTGAATCCGCAGTATGTAAATCAGCAGATCGCGGATACTCATTATGTTTATAACATTTATCAAAAACATATTTTCAAATTTGGAATATATCGTAATTTTTTATACATAAGTTTAGGTCACAGATAAGTTTTTCTTCAATATTGATTCGATACGAAGCTTTAAAATCAAACCTCACAGAATATAACTTTTTAAGTTAGTGTTTTTGAAGCCAATAATGTATAAAAGTATATAAATCTCGACACAAGACGTGCAAGGATTCAACCAAGTATTATTTGCAGTCTTCGATGTTTAAGATTAACCAGGGTACATGTGATAAAAAATAAATAAATTGTTAATGACACATTGACATTTATGATAATATCATGTTACAAAAAGCGCATTCTTTTGTATTTATTATTTCAACTAAATAAAATTGAGGATGGAAACAGGGAAGGTGTAAAAGAGACAACAACCCGACCAAAGAGCAGAAAACATGCCAAGGCCTCCAACGCTTTTAAATTTGTATATTACTTGTTAATTCTTATTTAGTACTCCTGTTATGTTATTTAAACATCGACATATATTTGTGTATTGTTAATGAGAGAATAAAAGTCCTATATCAAATATTCCTTTAAACATGTAGTGAAACTTACATATAAAAATTATAGACAGAAAAGCAAAACATTTCGTCTTCTCATGTAACGTAACATTTTAGCAACACAAATTGCCAAATACAATGATTATATGTTTTTATAATAGGCCTGCGTGCAGTGCATAAATGCAAGGAAAAATAAAAAAGGCGCTCTCGTGATGAACGAAAGCAACACGTTAGATGAAATATGTACGATGTATAACATACGTAATGACGACAATTTGCCTATGCATGTGTCTAACGTTATATGTCAGATGGATATAGAAGAGTATTTAACAAAAAAGAATGGGTAGGTATACTGATTACTTGATAAAGATATTCTATAAAAATGTTTATTCTAAATCTGTATATTTTAACACAGTTAATCTATGCTACCATTAGTTTGTACTAAAAATTTGGTATCAATAGTCTCATTTAACATTCCATTTCGCTTTTACTGATTAAAAAATTAGGATTGAAAATGGCGAGTTTAAAATTTGGTTAGCTTGAAATATTCTTTCGCTGATGACACAATAGTTTTCTCATTTATATTTCGTTCATTAATTGATTAATTGAATTCTGTTCTAAGTCCAATCATCTTAAACGGATTCAGCTTGATCGGATGACATTAACAAAAATCAAGCTTAGTTATCGGTTTAAAAGGATTTAACTGCCAATAAAAAGTAATTATGCATTTTTGTTAATAAAATGTCTTGAACTCTTTTGAAAATGAAATGTGGAGCTTTCTTGTCCAGTACCATTCAGTATAGTGTCGTTTTAGCAAAATTGAAGACAAAGTAGAACAATAGTCATTTGATTATCATCACTATATTTTTATTTCTGGGGTAGATGATGCGTCTTTTAGACTGTTAGTTCCCAAAGGTATTACCAGCCCAGTAGTCAGGGATTCGCCACTGATATGACTTACAACAAACAGTTATATAATCTTTATTGTTGAATGTTACAACTAATAAGGAACAAAAGTTCCAGCTCAACAAGGCAACCTTAGGTGATTTTAATGGTTATTACCTTTTCAGTTTGACCCCCCTTTTAGTCATTAAATGGTATCTCCTTAAATATGTAGACATTCTTTTGGTTTAGGACGAATCAGTTTAGAATCGATTTAGCAAATTTGCAGACAAAGAGGACAAAGGTCATTTTATCATCATCATCTCTATATTTAGGTTCTAGGATTGATAACGCTATACTGTTGGACTGTTATTCCCCGACGGTATCACCAGCACATTAGATAGGGCTTCGCTACTGATATAGATTATAACAAGCATTAGTTAAAGTTTTGTAGATGAATTTTGCAATTATTAATTATTAATATCCCTTAAAGCAACTTTAGGTGGTTTTGATTGTTTTTGCATATTCTGTTTAGGCCCTTTTGGTCATATAGCCCCACAAATTCTATAATGTTATTTTCATTTTCAGCGCGAGATTATCATCTTTATATAAAAAAAGTTTTTACGCGAATGTTTTAAAATTCAGTGTAAAGATACCATTGTAAGGTAATTATTGATATAAACAAAAGCGAATGTTTTCATTCTACTCTAATGATAAGATGAAACGGGTTTTAGTATACTTGATTGTTTGTAAATCCATGTCAGCATGACGCTATTGTACATAGTTATGTCAACTAATAAGGAAAAACATAATCATGGTGGTGATCAAATAGAGTATGATCCAAATATTTTTTTTATCATCCATTAGTATCTTGACCAACATACCCCACAGGGTGACTGGGGAATAGACATATGGTAACTTTGGAATTTTCCTGACCAACAGTAAAACCCTTGTCCGTTCGGAGGTGTACACAGCTACGTCCGGTCAAAATGGGGACGTTAAATTCGATGCCTCGTGTAAAGAGATTAAGAATCCTTGCAACAACTCGTTGATGGGTCCGTAGGTGGCCTGTTGCGAGGCAAATTTCTATTCTTATTTAATATACCCTCATTTTCCAGTGGCAGTCCAAATTTATCCGACCTGCATCACGGAAGGCTTCTGTTACAGGACTTACCTATTGTATCTATTGTTAATTTGTTCTCGTCCTGAACATGCATGAAATATTTGCTACTGGAAGTTAAGCAATCAACAATCTACTAATTTAACGACATACATTTAAAGAAATGTATTGATTCTAACTAAATTATCGTTAAACCCGGTATACCGTTTTTCTCTTTTTATTAAGGAAATGGTTTACAGCGTTAAAGAGGATTAAGTTTTTATATAGAAGAAGAATGGTAAGAATTATTCATCTTACAAACAAGCAGGAAGAAAGGATGAGAAGAAATTCTCATCGATTTAGTAGCCATGAGGAAAATACAACCACTGCAGCTCGGAAAGATGACAAGAGAAGGAAAAGAACAACATGCCTTTACCAATGTAGTATTGGGATAGAAATAGAGAACGATTCTTCAAAGGGATATTGCATGGGACTGAAAGAAAAGGTCACCAACAATCGACAAAATATGTCAGGGATATCTGAAAACGACTATGTTAAGCATAATAGTATGAACGAATGTTCTGCATCATCGGTATCTGAACGTCATACATCAGACGAGATTCAAAAAGTTTGCGTACTTGCAAAATACCAAAACACACTACAACGGTGTAACAAACGAACATCAAATCGATGATCATGACTTAATCTGGCCATGTTGTATGGCTAAACGATACCAATTGAATCGGGTATAAGTATTGTCAATTCAGAAATTATTGCGATGTTTTTATTATTGCGAAAAATGCGACAGGGGTATAATCGCATTATTTTAAATTCGCATTTTGAAATTTTTTATATGAATTAAACAGGATTTTTCTCAATATCGCAATAATTAAACCGCATTTAAGTCCAAAATGACAAAATCGCAATAATAATTGCACGCAATAATTTCTGAATTTACAGTAATCATTACAAACGTTATCGAACAGCTTAATGAAATATCTTTTCGATAAAATCGTACAGAGAGGTTTTTCATTAAACTGAATGATCAGAATTGATGCAAAATTAAAAAATATACACAATATAAGTAAATTTTAGTCTAGCTGTTGTTGCTGCTCTTCTCCTTATTTAGTTATCTATCTAGGATTATTTTTATAACTTTGACACAGTAACGGATAGGGACATGAGGTCTTCAGCAATGATTATGGGTCTATATGGTCCAAAACAGGATCAAACGATCATTGGTCACCGGTCATCCCAGGCCGAGAAAAGTGAATCTAAAGAAAGAAAAAACGATCATCATTACAATAAAAATCAACAGAAGTTATAAAGGAGCAATTAATGAAAGTAAAAATAAAATTGAAAATGGTAAAGATTGCTACGCATAAACAATTTCTAATGATTGTTTGACATATCAGGATGCATTGCATGATATATAGAATAAATTTGGTAACGTTCAGACATGTTGTTGTATTACTGCACCATATGCAATTAATGTCTCTTTAGTCATGCTCGAGTCCAAACTAATTGATTATCGAAAACGTAATACAAAAGCTGTAGAGTTGAAGAGCTAATAAACCAAAGATGACCAACAGTAAAGCCAGAAACGGACAAGGAATTAGACATATGCATGAGGGGGGATACCTTCCTAATTTTGAAATTATTTAAAAAATTTTAAAGCATCAAAATTAAAAAAAGCAATTACCGTATTTTTGTTCAGGTCCCCATCCTTAACTATATGTTTTCTCGTTTGAATTGTTTTCACATTTTTCATGTCAGAACCGTTTATTTCCTACTATCAGGTATGAGCTTTACCCATAGTTGAAGGCTGTACGGTTACCTATGATAGTTTATATTTACTTCATTTGAACATGATTAAGCAAGTATGATTTCATTTGCAGGAACTACTCACTAATTTTTTCCTGTGGCTGAACAGACTTTTTTGTACTGATTCATTGCACGTTCTCCTATTCTATTTTGTTATTGTACTTTATCGACTTTAAAAATGGTGGATTGGGGGCTTAACAAAACATTCAATACTGCAATATGCTTATGTGCCTGTGTCAAGTCAGGAATTTTATATAGTGGAACGTAAAGTTGTTGTTTTTTGCCAGCAAAATTATTTTAAAATATCTATATTGAAATATAAACAATTTCTATTACAGGAATTTAATCTAAATTTTCGATGCACAAAATATCATTTATCAAATTTTGCCCTATCAAAAAGTATCAAATGTCTAAAGGGGCATATGGAACTTTGTAAAAGTCATGTTATATTGATGAGAGTTTGCACAAAAGAAAACGTTTTAGGTAAAGAGTCACATTGCATTTTACGGTATTCAGTCTATTGCTTTCAGTTGTGTGGAAACAATCAAAATCATAATAATGCATTGGATATTACTTTGTTTCTGGATTTTAGAAGTTAATTGTTCCATAGATAAAGAAAACGGAGGTGAGATGTATATTAGCATTTTAATTCAAACGTGATAAGTTTTCAAAAAGGAACCACGCAGTATATAGAGTTTGTGATTATCTTAAATCTTTTATATAATTTCACAAGTGCTCGTTAATTCTTTATAAGTTCCATATGGCACCCCCACCATACTAAAGGAACAAAATAACATATTACAGTTTATTACATGTGAAGCCATTTGGCCACTTAATTTTATTAAACCATAAAGTCAACATCATTGATTGCTTAGATAATTGCCGATAGCTATCAAATGCTTTATCTTTTGTTACAATGAGCTGAATATTGATTTTCTGTCAAACTCGTAAAGCGTGACGAGTTCAAGGTGAAATCCGAGTGTTGACTGATAAGGGAGAAAAATCCGAGAACCACGAAAAATATGAACACGATTTGTGTTGCCAGATGTACAAAAGCAACCGCCAGCAGAAAACCTTGAGATATACTGTATCGACCACCGATCAAGTTCGTTTCACCGATCATTCGCCGATCATTTAAGTATACGTCAAACAGTAACGTCTAAGGTTGGAAGTACCTTATATGTAATTAAATGCAAGAGTTCCATATGGCACCCAACCTCAAATAATAACATCGTTAATCTTATTCAGAGCCTTTCAACTCTGGAAGTACCCGATAAATAGAATGACGGATCACGACCGGATGGTGTTTCAAAAATACATTTCATTGTCTTTGTAACGTAATTTGACAGAATTCATAAATGCAAACTGATTATAAAATAGTGCTGTCGGAATAATGTACAAATTTCATACTACATGTTATATAAGAGCGTAGATGTACACCCGACAACAACGCTGCCAATAGAATTTTTTGTAGTTTATAATAGGGAAAATCAGTTGGCGAAAAAATCTGAAATTGGCGAAAATAAATTTGGTGAAGGGGGTTACGAAAAAGACAATAAAACTTTGGTTAGCTTATTTGACTTATCTGACGGATTCTATGTGAGATTTACTATGAAAAGGGTCAGCGATGGACCAGTCAATTAATTATACGCACGGGTCGGACGGATATCCTCAATATTAACATACGATAAAAGCAGACTTCGAAGAAGACACAGTTACCGAAAATGTGTCTTCAACTTGGTCGCAATTAAATGAATAAAATATGAATTACTTTTAAGGCATTATCTGATTATTTCACAATTAGTTCTCTTATCTTCTGTTAAATTTATTACATAATTGCAACAAAACGAACCACTCAGTAAAATTTCTGCGTCAAATCAGTTCTCTTAGTATTTCAGTATATATTTTCATATTTCTTTTACTTCCACTGATATTAATATTCTTGTTCACATTGTTTAAAGATGCTAATTTTTCTTCACTTCAATAGAAGGAATATTTTTACTTGTTGCACTATTTTTTTAATAAAATGTGAATAATATAAGAGTATATATACTTGAACTTTTGGTTTATGTTGATAAGGAATGCAATTATGTCTTAATTTTTATGGAAAGTAGAAACCGTCATTTGAATATAAATACTTTTGGTATTGAAGGATACGTTGTTTTTGAAAAAAAAACATATAATGAATATCAAGGAAAAGATATTTTAATTTTATTTGTGGTGTTTAAAAATACGTATATTCCTCTTTTTTATTGACATTCAAGCACCATCATTTGCCATCAGTCAAATAAATGCATCTTGATGAGTTGATCTTTATAAAATGTGAACAATACAAGGACAAAGTTACCTAAACGTTTGTTTTTATAGTATAAGGGTGAAATTATTTCCCCATTTTAAAGGAAATCATTTGGTATAGTTTGCTTATCAAGGAGGATCGTTTTCATTAATATGGTGAATGCATTCATCAAAAATTGCATAATATTTCTTTTTATTGTAATCCATGTACAGTTTTTAGGAATCAGTTACTTAGGTGCCTCTGGATGAATTTTTCATAGATGTGAATAATTTAATAGTAATGATACTTAATCATTTAAATTATGTTGATTAAGAGTGCAATTATTTCTGCATTTTAAAGGAAAGCGTGAACCGTCATTTGGTATTAATACTTTCATTTGTCAGGTTGGGTTATTTTTCTTTGAATATGACGAATATAAGAAAAAAAGATGCAACAAATTTTGTTTATCGCATTAAATGTGCCCATACTTTCTTCTTTTATTTGAAATTCGTGCATCATCTTTAGCAATCATGCATTTTATTGTTTCTAGATGAACAATAAGTAACAAAATACCGAATTCCAAGGAAAATTCAAACCGGAAAGTCCTATATCAAATGGCAAAATCAAAAGCTCAAACACATCATACGAATGGAAAACAACTGTCATATTCCTGACTTGGTACAGACATTTCCGTATGTAGAAAATCGCGGATTTAACCTGGTTTAATAGATAAGTTATATTTCATTAAATGTGATTAGTACTATTTGATACACCAGAATGGGTAAGCATTGCTTAAAAATGACCATATTTCGTCTTTTTATTATGATTAATGCATTGTTATTTTCAATTAGTCATTTTAAATGCCTCTCGATGAGTTGTTTTTTAACATGAATAGTTTAAGATACTTAAACGTCTGTTTGGGTTGAAAACAATGCAATTATTTCTCCAATTTAATGGAAATCGTGAGCCAGGATACGGTGTTTAAAAGAAACGACATACATAATATAAGAGAAAAGATTCAATTCAATCCAAGTTCAGCGTCCTTATCTAATGTTAAATAGGAAAATAAACATTTTTTTTTACTTCTATAGTCTGTAACAATAAAGTTTATATCCTACTTAAACATCATGTAAGTATAAATCACCTACTTGGCTTTTAAGCCAAATGTTTCTTTCAATTTGTACACTTGAAAGTAATATAAGGAAACAGGATTTGAATTAAATGTGACCAGCAAAAGTCAACCTGTAACAATGTGTAAGAACAAATACTTAAATAAGGTAGGTGTAGCGAGTTCGAAAAAAATGCTACAGAAACATCTATTATACTATTTTGTTGCTATATAAACAAGCAGTTAAAAGAGAAGGACCATCAAGTCCACATTTTAATCGGCCCAAGAATTTCAGATTTTGAGAAAAACTTATGGGAACGAACTGTGCGCCTCTCTTTGCCAACCTCGTCTTATTGTCATATGAGTGAGTGTTCCCTCAGAATCTTGCCAAAAACAAGAAAACCAAAGAAGCCAGATCATTTAATTTCACATTCAGATATATTGATGATGTTTTTTCCATTAACAATCCAAACTTTTCTGATTGGGTTCCATTCATATATCCTCCAGAATTAGAAATTAAAGAAACAACAAAAACGGCTTCATCCACCTTTCATTAAGACTTATACCTCGAATTTGACATAGGCGGTCATCTTAGAACCAAAATCAATAACAAACAAGGCGATTTTAATTTTGAAAATTTCCCTCACTTTAGCAACATTATACCAAATTCTTAACTCATTTGGTATTCAAGAGCTTGCAGCTGCTACTGAGACTTTATAAGACGTTACCAGTGTCAGAGCAGAAAGTTGATGAACCCAGGTTATGTCAAAGAACTTCTTTCTGAAAAAGTACATCGGAAGATACCAAGACATTGTTGATAAATATTCTGTATCAACTTCACTAGTAATACATGATACTCTTGAAGTATAGATTCTAGGTACTGACGTTGTTTATCATCTTTATAACGTGATAAAGTGTTTTTACTAGTCTGTGTTTATACTTAACCTTTACTGTTTAGTACCTTTTTGCTGATATGCTTTTGGTATGTTGAGATATTTGTTTGTTTTTATAGTGATTAAGATTATAACACAATGTTGACTGCTGTACCCCTGATTTGACATTTTCAAATATTATGTCTGTTAGTTTTGTTCACATATTGTTGTCAATATAACGGAATTGTATGCGACTCTCATGCGAGTGAGAGGATTAGCTATCTGTAAAACCGTGTTTAATCCACCATTTTCTACTATGCCTGTACCAAGTCAGGAATATGACAGATGTTTTCTATTCGTTTGATCTTTTGATTTTT